ACTGAGGTTTTCGTTGCGCATCGCCGCTTATATAAAGCCAAAACGAGGCTACGAGAACGTTCCAGAGTGCCATCTAGTAGCGAGCGCTTTCGCGATTATCATGGAAGAGTTTTGCGATGTAGACACAAGCTAATATGTCGCGGTGTACAATGTGCAGTCGACTTCTTATTATTTATTTTTATTGTAAATGCTATTCTGGCAGAATTACTACTACTAATTACTAGTGGGACAGATCGCAATCATTAAAATAATTGTATTAAAATAAAATAATTGTTTTCGATTTAAACTTAAACAGTAAAGTAAAATTAAATTTGAGAAACCATGAGATAATTGTAAATTAGGCACGCTATTTCAAATAATATTGAATAAATGAGTGGGGGGAAATTGGAGGGTCGCGAACAAAATTTTTTAGCAAAAAGGGGTCGCGGTTTAGATAAGTTTGGGAAACTCTGCTATATGCCATGTAAACTGTAACTAGTGCTAATGATTATAGATGAAACATGCACAGAATAGTAAATTTTTATTTTATAAAAATATATTAATTTAAAATAACTAAAATAATTAACATTTTTATGATTACATACATAACACTGCGTGAGATTTGTCCATCAATGTAGCTATTTTTCGTGAAATTTGAAGGTTTACTTTTATATAAAATAAAAATTAGCTAAGGATATTCCCATCAAATTATCAAATAATCAGGTGCAGGATCAACAAACTGCAATTTATTTTTAAAGCTATCATTCAATCTTTATTTAAGCTTAATTAAATACATATTACTTTTAATATCCTTCGGCATTTTTTTTTAACATGAGCAATCAGTAACCTTGACTTTTAAACCTCTACCTACAAGAACGGAATAATTTTATTTAGTTTATTTGTGTTTATAAGCGTGTATTGAATATAGTTGGGTCGGTGGATGTTTATCTCTATTAGACCAGGGAAATTTCAATGTTTTCTCTATTAACTACTGCAATTTTATGTAAAACTGAACAAACTGTTAGGTATTATTCTTTGAACAAAACGTACCTTGCATCTCATTCCACATGTTTAAAATGGAAAATCCCTTCAAAATACCAAAAGTTCTTTCATTGACAATTATTGAAGCAATTTGTGATAGATTATACAGCACTTCAACTGCTGTCTGAAGATTCTACAATGGTAGTTGAGAACTGGATATCCACTATTTCCTTATAACTAATAATACATTTTCCATAAATTCCCTATTTTATATATCCATAATATGCAAAAGTATTTAACAACTCCTAAAATAGCTACTTGTAATAATTGCACTTCCATATTAAAAGGAGTTATTATGGATTATGGTATTCTTTAAATGAGAAAATAATTGAATTCAACATTTTACACTTTTGAATGATCTTATTTTAATTTTTATTTTAGGATCTCATTACCGATAACAAATACAAATTTTATAGATTATTTTTATATATACAAAAATATTTAATGTCCTTTGTCAAAATAAAAGAATAAAATCTGTGTGTGCAACAACTCTCAATATGGTTACGATCATAACCATACAGACAGACGAACTATTCTTTTTTAAAAAAATCCACAAGGAAAACAATTCCTGTAGCTGACTGTATACCACGTATCACAAAAAAGAGGTTAATCTTTGTAAGTGGGTATATTTATTTAAAAACCCTTAAAGGGCTACATCAAAAAAACAAACGTTTTCGGAATAAACAGTCCATCATCAGGTTTAAAATCTGCTAGGTTAAAATGCCTGAGCCACCAAAAATACATGGGTAAAAACCCTTTAAATTACTTATAGTTATGAAAGATTATACATCTTGTTGTTAAAAAACTGTGATGTTCATTATTAAATTAAATATGACTTCAGGTAACATACATTGTAAAAAAATTTGAGTTCCAGAGCCGGGAGAAAACCTCTACGCCCGGAGAACAGCTGGAAACTTTTCCAGAAACTCCAAAAAATGGATGGCGACAATAACAAAATCTATTTTATTTCGTTTAAAATTGATGTAAAGTCGGGTTATTATATTAATATTATTTTGATTGTATTAAATTTTTACAAACTCCGACTATTTCTGGCATAAAATATTACTTTGATCCTTATCAATTGTTGAGCAATGTATTTCTCATACTCCGCATATTATTTGTATAAATATCCGTTTCCAATCGACTTAAACCGCAAGCGGCTATTACAACTATTACTGTTTCTACTAATTAGACTAAAATAAAAGAATGCTCTGGTAGCAATAACTTAAAAGTGAACATCCACCGATCCAAGTCTATGCATAATAATCTGTATAACATGCCATTGAAATTAGTCTTCGAACTTTCACTCTTAATATAGGTTGTACATTTTGAGAATGCACAATTATAAAACCAGTCCATGGTTGGATTAATTGTTTTTAAATTCCAAATTGGAATGTTCTAACATTCTTAAGAGTATTTTTAAGCATATCACTATTATTTGTAAACAAATGGTTATATAAAAAAATATAAAAATATAAATATAACCATTATATTATACAAAACCGAATAAAATTATTAAGATATTTTTGGACTATGTCTATTGACAGAAATAGGTTAAGGACATCTGTGTCTATAAGTATATGCTAATTTTTAATTTTTTTCTTTCGATCTTCTTCTTCTTTGCGTGCTATATCCGAATTATCCGACGTTGGCGATCACCATTGCGAAGGCTTCTTGATCTTCTGCAATATGGAATAATTCTCCTGCATTTGATCTCTGAGTCCATTCACGAATGTTTTTTAACCAAGAAACTTGTTTTCTTCCTACACCTCTACGGCCCTCTATTTTGCCTTTAAGGATCAGTTGTAATATTTTATATCGACTTCCCCTTACTATATGCCCCAGATAAGACATTTTTCGATGTTTAACAGTCTTTAGCAGTTCTCTATCTTTGTTGACGCTCCTTAGTTCTTCTTCATTAGTTTTTCCTTGCTTTCCAGGGTATCTTCAGCATTCGTCTATAAACCCACATTTCCAATGCTTCCATTTTGTTCATGATCGATACTTTAGCGTCCACACTTCTGCACTATACAAAAGTACGGACCAAACTGTGACGATAATATATTTTATCGTCTAGAGTACACCTATGTGTTAAACAAAACACGTTTTTGTTTCGTCTCGAATAGTATAAAAGTCGAAACTGAAAGACAGCTAACGATTCTCGACGCGTGAGTTGAGAATATCAGACCTTGGGGACAGGTGAGTTGAACGTGTCCCAAATCCTTTCCGAACCCAGTCGATCTGGCGCGCTGCGCGAGATTGACAATCCTTCCTCTGACCGCGTCAATCTGGTGCGTTGAACGAGATTGGCGTATTCTTTCCATCTAGTGTGTTGAACTAGATAGACATCCTTATCCCCGTCCGAGTACTCGTTCTGCGTTGAAGAACGACTACGACCTCAATTCCTCGATCGTCATATCTTAGTTTATCATATCGAATATCGTCACACCCATCTACCGAAATAAATAAACAGTACGTTCTTGTATTTAAGCATTATATTCAGTAAACACTTAGCGTTAATTACTTTTTTTATTTGTATATGTTAGTTCGAAATAAATGTCTATATGAACGAATCCTGTTTCTCTGGCTGAAATACACTACCCGACGTCACAAAACATAGCACTTAACCATTCTTTGTCTTAGTTTTAAAACTTAGATGATTATTGCAAAGAAATGACTTCATTTTGATAAAAGTAGTTACTTCATAGCTATTTTACGTTTTATTTATATGTCTGGATCTAGTTCGTCCGTTATGATGGGAGGGTGTGATGACATGAGGTCTGATGCAAAGTGAGATGTGGGTCACGACTAAACACTAAAAATTTGGTTTTGTTTGAGTTTATTTTAATGCCCATTTCCTCTCTTACCTCGTGAATACGATCAAGCAGAATTTCTAGACCGTCAAAATTATCTGACAGAATTACTGTATCGTCTGCATATCTAATCACATTAAGTAGTTCCCTGTTGATTTTTATTCCATATGGTTGTCTCTCAAGTGCCTCTTTAAATAACTTATTCGAGTAAACATTGAATAATGTTGGCGACAAAATGCAACCTTGCCGGACTCTTCGTTGTATGGAGATTTCATCGGTGTAGTTATCTCCAATGTTTACTACACCAGTTTAATTCCAGTACAAATTTTTAATGACACGAATATCCTTGTCATCTATTCCGATATTTTTTCAGTATTTGCATCAGTTTTACATGCTGTACTTTATCGAATGTCTTTTCGAAGTCCACGAAACATGCAAATACATCTTTTCTTTGGTGGAGGCATTTTTGGAATAGGATGTTAAGCGCAAAAAGTGCTTCTCTGGTTTAAAACCACATTGGGTATGTTCGAGATCTTCGGTGTATCATCTGGACCACAAGTTTTTCTAATTTTAGTATTATTTGTAGCCTGTTCTACTTTGCATTTCATAATTTCTGGGCCGTCAGTACAGTTTTGGTAGAATTCAGCAATATTGTTCCTGTCATCTTCAAACAACTCTGATATATACAGCTGCCATTTTTTTTTATTTCGTGCTCATTTACATTCATTTTGTTATTATTTTTAACGAGTACAGTGGGAACTCGTTTTTTAAATATGTTATTCATTTCTTTTAGTTGTTTGTGCACATTAAATAAGTCGTTGTTTAGTTATTACATCCTCCATTTCCTTGCATCTTTCTCTCATCCATTTTTCTTTGGCTAATTTGATCTCCCTTTTTATACTTCTCTGCAGGTGTCTATATTCTGTTTCGTTAGATTTTATCAGTCGACGTTGTTCCATTACTTGCAAGATAGCGTCTGTCATCCATTTATTTTTTCTTGATTAAGATTTTTCTATAATCATTGTTTGTGGAGATTTTGTTAACTTGGTTTTTAAATTTACTCCATAGTTTTTCTGGATCTTCTAGAAAATTTTTAGCCAAAAAAAAACTTCTAAAAAGTTCTAGAACAAAATTTTATTATATTTAAAACATAATCATCTCTTTTAGGATCTCAGTGAAGAATTTGATAGAGAAGCAGAAAAAACAGGAAGGCCAAGATTGATATTAACGATGGCTGTGCCTGCGGGTGTAGAATATATCAACAAAGGATTCGATGTGCCAGAATTAAATAAGTAAGTATTAACTTTGCTTATTCTTTTTATCTATTTCATAATTTAGCTGAAATTTTCTCTATATAATTTTCCCCACTAAGATGTGTTAACCAATTTACCTGGTTTATAGTTTATTCGTCTTCCGGGTTTGGACTGTGTCATTTGTGAGTGACCAAAAAGTGGGTTCATCTGTAGTTCTGACTTTGGCCGTGGAAGCCTACGGTTTCATTTTACCTGGTTTACTCCTAACGAATTTAATAACTGTAGAATTTGAAACTATAGAAACCTATTGTATGAATCTTCTGATAATTAATAATTGTAGCAGATATGCAACCTATTTACCGAAAAAATGAAACGAAAACGAAAAAAACTTAAGGAAAAAACAAAACAAGAATTCACCTGTCTAAAAAATGTATCAGAAGAGAAAAGCATAAATAAACTGACAAAAAATAAATTTAACAATATGCTAGCACAGTTAGAGTTAACAATAAAACTAGACTTTAAAATAGTAAAATTTAACAGTAGAAAAACTTCATTCCGATAAATATTTTTTTCTTCCAACGTCAAATAATGATGACATTACTTATCTAACTTGATCCTGTCAAAGTTTGATGTCTCCGCCGGCAGCAGTTTTTTTCCCAGCTCTTTACGGCGGAGGGAAAATGTTGTCATTGCAACAATATGAAACATGTCACAAAGCAACAATACAAATATCATTAACAACAATTAAACATCATTTTTATTTATAGTAATATTAAAAGTACAATTAGTTAATGAGGCATTTTCAAAATTGAAACCGTGCAAAAATGTTCCCGACTCTTGATACGCATTGGTAATTGTTGATGATACTGATGGTCGAGATCAACTTTCAGCAATCATTCCCAATGTTGGCGAATCATGAGGGTTTAAAATTTCATCTTGACAATCGAGCTTATCGACAAATACTGAACTAGTTAGATGACCGAAAAAAACAAAAGCTCCCTCAATAATTTGAAATGAAATACACATCGTTTCTATTTAGATAGAAAAACAGTTTTACGATACTACTTTTTATTTATTTCTTTTTTTTATTTTCAGATACTTAGACTGGATGAATATTTTAAGTTATGATTATCACTCTGCGTTTGAGCCTGCTGTAAATCATCATGCGCCGTTATATTCTTTGGAAGAAGAAAGTGAATACAACTACGAATCAGATTTAAATATTGTAAGTTAATAATGTCCATACAGACTACAAGCCCATGGGACAATCAATACTACAATATGTAATAACAACTTTAGAAACTATCCCCTCAATTCTTATCGGTACATAAAGCATGGGGGTTCAAATTGAGGATTGCGCCTTAGACTTCTCTCACTCCTGTACCGGCCAAAAGATAAGGCGTTGCAAAAAACAATAATCTATATACCGACTGAAAACTTTGTGTATAAAAATCGTACTGTGTCACATTAGCGAAAATGAGGACAAACTTGTACGACAATAAAAAATTTTCTGCTCTTGATACCAATATTTTTGTACTGTATTAGATTGCAGGTTTTTGTATTACCTACCTAAGTTACTAATGCCATACAAAAATGTTTGGCCAAAAAAACTTAGCCCTTGAGTGGTAAGCTTATCTTTCCTGTGACTCACATGTATCGATAAGAATTGACGATATAGTTTTTAAAGTTCTTCTTGTTCTTCTTCTTTTTATGTAGACGTGACTCTTCTGTTTTTCAATGTGCATCCAGTAAGTTGCCATTCCATCATCTTCGTGGTCTTCTTACTAATCGCCTTCCTATTGGTGCACCGTCTCTTGCCGTCTTTACTACTCTATTCGTTGTACTCTTCTATTTGTTGCCCAGTTCTTGATTTTCTCCACCTTGCATCATGTCGTATATCTGTACTTCTAGCTCTGTCCCATAGTGGCTTACCATCAAGTGTTTTCATGTCTGCTGTTTAGTTTTTAAAGTTAGTATTACATATTGTAGTATTGATTTATATGTGATTCACGCATTGAATCCCACATGGTCTTGTAGACACTGTAGACTGTTACCTTTATGTAAAATATTAAAATATAAATGGGCTTTATTTTATAGGACCATTCCGTTAAACACTATCTTAAACTTGGAGCTGATCCAAGTAAATTAGTACTAGGAATACCTACGTATGGTCGATCGTACACACTTCTCAATCCAGATGCTTTTGAAATCGGCTCTCCAGCTGATGGACCGGGAACGATGGGTGAAGCAACACGAGAAAATGGATATTTAGCATACTACGAGGTAAGAATTCAAAGGATCGTTTTATTTCTTGTTCTGTTTGTAACAGCGTTATTTCAATATTCAAGTAAATTTAAAGCTGAACCAGGATGCGTGTTTCTGAAAAACACCCTTAGGGCACAGTAGCCCTTTTGCCAAAATTTTTAAAAATAGAAATATTACTCCTCTATCGATTCGTAAAATGGCATAAGGCAAAAAAATTTTCCGAAAATAAAAATTTCTTAATAAAGGAAAATTAAATTTTCACGTAAATTTCTCCAGGAAACCCCAAAAATTTTATATATTTCACTCTCCTTGATTTTATCTTTTAGTACTCTTAAAGGCATAAGAGAAAATCGTGGATGAACTTCGTCAGGAATCCCACGGTCTATATTATACGGTTCTTATTTTCATTTACTGGAAAACATGTTGCTTCCTCAGTTGTTACCTATATTATATACAGCATTTTAAAAAATATAAAAACGGAAGACGACAAAGCTTACTCTTTCCTTAAATTTGTCTTAATTTTTATACAAAAAAGAATTTCCATTTCTGGTCTTCTCATTATATATTATATATATATATATATATATATATATATATATATATATATCCGGTTTTTTAGGCGTTACGCCCGTCCGGTAGGGATCTATGGAGGAGTATCACCGAGCCGCAAGCCCTTATCTCTTGCCGTACTGCTCCACCATAGGCCGATCAGATCCCAGCATATCCTAGTCTAATTTTTGAAGTTTTAAAGTTATATGAGATTTATGTCCGAAAAAAAAAAACGTAAAAATGGCTATCTTCGATGCTCAATATTAGTAGTAAAACTCGAATTTCGGATGGTATCACAGTTATGTTTAAAAAGGCTTTGAACATTCGTTTTTAGCCAATGTCAAAATGTTCATGAGCACTTTTAAGTGTCGGAAATAGACATTTTTACGTTTTTATGGCACGGTGCATTACTATGATGAGAATTTTTCCTTCTGCACACCAGGTCTTTTTTCACAATTTATTTTTCTTCAGCTAGTCTAAAAGGTTACAGTAATATTCACAATTTATTGTTTTATCAGTTTTCAAGTAATCTACAAACAAATAAATTGATGCTAACGCTTCTTGGTCGATTTTTGAACACGAACTCGTTTCGGAGCCGAAGAGGTTCACACCGCTCTTTAGCCACTTGTTTTGATTTAGAATCATGGTGATAACACTCAAGTCTTATCCATAGAAATCAACTGATGCAAAAAAAAAACACTTTATCTTTTCGAAAATGCTCTAAATGTTGCTGAAAAAGTCGCATTCGAATGTGTTTTTGTTCCGTTGTTAACGAATGTTGCACCAATAGTGAACACTTCTTCTTCTTTCAGTGCCCTGTCCGATTATCGAACGTTGGCAATCATATTGGCAATAATAACCTTATTCACGGTGGCTCTAAATAAATTAACGGTGGTTTCTTGATACCATTCTCGGAGATTTCGTAGCCAGGATATTCTTCGTCGGCCTGGGCCTCTGCTTCCGTCGATCTTACCCGAATAGTGAACACAGCTTTCGGAAACTAAATACTTCAGTCAAAATATGACTTGCTCCCCAATGTCTAGGGCTTTTACTAAATTTGTTGAAGTCACTCGACGTTTTTTTCAATATGATGTCCTGTATTTTTTTCAACAATTTCTGGGGCTGTTTTTGGACGTATTTGTCCTGGTATAATGGTATTGATGAACAAATACTGCACACTGTAAAATCATATGTTTAGCCATTTGTTCTACATTTTTGCAGAACCTGCATGTTGCTCTGTCCACTTTGCCAATTTCCAATCCCAATAATTGGGAGAGAATTGTTCACCTGTAATAACTTTGAGTTAAGTTTTCTAAACGCCTAAGAGTATTTGCAGGTAGAGTACTTGTAACAGGTCTTAATAACTTTTTGCTTGTATTGGGCTCAAATATTTTTCCAGTAGGCTGCACGTATGAACTTCCTGTTTCCATTTTTTGACACCTTTTACAACACAGCTTTTTGTAGCATCTTTCCTAACCTTTCGGTATATGAACATAAGCAAATCCATTTCCTTTACGAGTCCGACACCAGATGAGGTCGATACGCTTGCCGCGAAGTGTGGGGCTCCACCTTTCCCGTAGTACCTATATTGCTACACGAACATCCCTCCTTTATCTCTACTACGGGCGAACAGGTAAGCGCAGATAGAAATAAGGTCCCGACCTCTACGTACCATAAGCTGACGTCCAGCTGGTGGCTAGGCGTATAGAGCTTGCAGTTATTTTAACCACAAATTGGTTATGTGGAATGAGGGTAAAGTTGTTCCACGTGAACTCGTCTCGGATTCTAAGGACACAGTTCGTTGTCCAGAACGTGAAACGTCCTGTGTGCGTTTCTGCTATCTCCACATCTCTAACGACGTCTCCTGACCTGTCATTCCTTTCCATTATTTTCCTCTTATGACAGGCAGAGAAAAAAGCAATATTCTACCGCCGATGCTAGACAGCGACTGAAACAGTCGATATAATTTGTATAAATAGATTTTTTTAAAATGTCATAAATAGAAGAAATTGTGATGTAGAGATATTTTCAAAACAAAAAAAACCGCCTAATTAACTAGACTCTTAATTGATGCTCTTAATTGAAAGCACAAAAGAATACTTAATTGTGCCATTGTGGTATTCAAAATCTTTGAGCATAAACAATTTATAATAAGGCTACGTGATTATTGTTTCATTGGTAATGCGTAAAAATATGAGTTTATCCATATGGTAGGAATTATTTTAATCATTATGTCTAAATTTTTCTTTTTCTCAATCTGGTCCATTATTTTAAATAAACATATATTTTTATATTCATCGTAGAACAAATTTCTTTCTAATATGACTCTAATGACCTACTTAATATTTTCTTTTTCTGTTGTGCTAATTTTCACTCATCACTTAACTTGCTCAATATAATAGTTATGTTTATAAAGAAATATTGTTCTGAAGCTATTTTCTTGTGGTATTTTAAATTAATTACTATTTAACTGGGAATAAGCCACAATTAAAGATAAAAATGCGTTTAAAAAAATAAACGTATTTTTATCTTTAGGGTAAAGTGTGCAAATTGCGGTCACCTAAGAAGAAAATTTAATATAAAAAAAAGTAAAACTCTGTGAATCAAATTTAAGCCGTCAATCCGTAATTTGGGGTTTTAACTTATTGCAAGATACATTTAATTTCAAAAATATAAAATTTTTGTCTTTGACAGAGACAAAACATAAAAAAGTATCTTTGATCGGTATTGTCACCATACATGGACAATACCGGTCATGAGTGTGGGTAATGCCAGTCAATTTGTTTGTGTTATTATTAAAATAAAAATCAATATCTATTTAACATTTTTTTGTTATAAAACGATTAACGAATGTGGCTTAATGGGTCATAATTCAAGTACATCAGTAAGAAAGGTGAAAAAAATATTTTTTTATTACAAAACAAACAAAAAATAACAAAAATATGTGTTTTAATGTAAAAATAGTTGACAGTCATCGCAGGTATAACTCTCTGCAGAATCCCATCCACTGCACTCTGAATAAGCCCATCGTGAGCAAACGGTAAATATATACCACAATTCATTGTTTTTGCCAAACTCGCTGTAAACCAGGCATCTATCTTCGTATGCATCGTCACTGTTATCACATGATATATCAATATCCGATTCCAAAGAACTAGAATCAAACACCTTTTTCTTGTAATGCCAATTACAAGAAAAAGGTGTTTTATTACAAGAAAAATTATCTTGTAAACCCAAATGCTAATTTTCCCAGTTCTATAGCTGTTACGCCATAAAAAATTAAGCTAAATATTTTTTTGTGTGGCTATTTTAGCTTCTTGTTCGGCAGAAAATACTGATTTTCTACCTAATGAGACACCTTGAAGATTTTTATTTTTTATTCTTTCTTGCAATGTCGAAAAATGGATGGATTAATCCCTAAGGATTAATAGTATAGGGTATAAATTATAGCATGGGGGTAATACCGGTCAACTGACCGGCATTGCCTCCTGTTGGCATTTTTTTTCTTAGAATTTTTTACTCGTAAACATGTATTAAAATATTGATCTTTAAAAAAGGAATAGGCAGCTAACGTCATTATAATCAATTGTAACCAATTTTTAAGATCTACAAGTGAATAAAAATGAATTAAGACCTTATATTACTCAGCATAAAAATAAGATCGAAAACACTGAAAACAGGTTAATAATATTTCTATGACAATGGTTTGCGCCAACTCAACGCTCGTCAGCAATCTGAATACAGAGTAGTGTAGCGACACGTTGGCAGTTATAGGAGGTTGCCAGATTGAATAGATTTCGCACAATCGGGATGACCGCCATTACCCACTGACCGGTATTTGCACAGTTTACCCTAATTGTGGCTTATTCCCAGTTAAATAGTAATTAATTTATAAAGAAAGTTTAAAAGTGTAATAATATATTTATTTGTTTTATAAATAAAATTACTTTTAGGTTTGTGACTACGTCAAGAACCAGGATTGGGAAGTGGATTCTCCAAACCCCAAGGTCATGGGTCCATACGCATTTAAGGACAATCAATGGGTTGGATATGATGACGAAGAAATCGTTAAGAGAAAAGCCGAATATGTTGCTGAAAATCGTTTAGGAGGTATAATGTTTTGGTCTATTGATAATGACGATTTCAGAGGAAAATGTCACGGAAAGGCTTATCCCTTGGTTGAAGCTGGAAGAGCAGCATTACTAGCTGCATATGGGTATGGATACTTTAGTTTCACTTTATTTATGTCACTATACCTTTCTGTGCATAATTTTAAACTTTTTTAACATACTATTAAGTTTATTTTAACAACCTCAAACATTCCAGTTTAATGATAGCAATAAATCTATTAATTTTTTGCATTTAACTCGCTAGTAATAACTTTTACCGTTTTACAAATTTCATAGGAACTACTTCTTCAAATTCTGAACTCGATTTTTCTTTTATCAGATTCTTTCCCTCGTTATATTTTGTCTCGTTTCTTGATTAAATCTGAGTCACATTGTTTCGCAGTCTCGGATTTAGTTCATGGACCACTGAGGGCTGTCATATTATACTACATACATGGTATATGCCACTCTCCAGTAGGTATATATGCGTCTAAGGTTAACAATTCATCAAAACTGTTTTAATATTATTAGGTACTTTATTACAAATATACAAAAAGGCCACAAAGACACAAACTCACAACTTAAATAGTAAATTAACATAATTATTTACAAACAAATTTTCCTGGACTTCCTACTTGCAAACGGATCGATGATTTTATTAAAAACTGATTTTGTAAGCAGATCATTATTAATATTTTAAAACAGCGAACGAATTTAATGTTTCTTCCGTCATCGTATTTCTCAAATAATTTTTGACCTGTTTTAGAGTGGAAAATGATCTTTCACTAGTTGCGTTAGTAACCATCAACGATAAGATGATGCTTAGTGCTATTTCTACGTTTGGGAAGGTTGCAATTATATTATTTGTATGCAGCTCCATCACAAAAGTAGCGCTGTGAGTTGTTGAATTTTTATACTCAACTTGGTCTAGTAGTGACAATATAAAATGTTTTAGTTGAATACACTCACTTGCTAGAGATGTAAGTCATTCGAATAAATATTCACTAATACCGACGCTTTGCCTGAAATCACGTTATCCTCTGAAAGAGATAGATGAGAAAGTGGATAGCAAGATCTTCATAAGCTTTTCCTCAAGATTTCAGATTATTTGCCAAATAATCAATTGTTTTATACAGCACTTGGGTTCTAATCTTATTTTGCGGTGTAAGAATCTCTTCTGTATCTGCTTCGTCAAGCTGTAATTTTCTTTTGCGACTTCTAATTTCTTTGCTCCATTTCGTTTGCTGTAATAAGAGCTGCCCCTTTTGTTCAAATAAATTACAATTATCACGAAGAGACTTGTAAAAATGTTGTAATGAGCTATACAAAGAAGGACATGTATGTAAATCCATATTTACGTTTTGTAAAGATTTACTCGCTAAGTCAGTTCTTTCCAGTACTTCGAACTAAAAGGCAACACAAATACCAAATTCTAACGTAGCCATCTTTTCGTGTAAATTGTTTGCTTGGCAGCGAACTGACATCTTATTGTCATGGTTAGAGGATAACTCTAAAAGTGCTTGCTTTATATCTTGATAGCATAAATTAAGAACTTTTAATGCCTTAAATCGCCCTGACCATCGAGTCACAGTAACTCTTTTTGGAAGAAATGTTGATGGCTACAATTATTCAATAGATCAGTGAGTCGTTTCCATCTGTAAGTTGAAGCTGAGATAAAAACATAAATTTCTTCAGCAACTAAAAATAGAAGTACTTTCCATAGTGCAATCTGCTGCATGTTGCACAATCAAATTTAGGGAATGGACTGCACATGGTACGTATTTTTGTCAAACTATTCCTAGATTTTATTCGGGTTTGGAGAACGCTATAGAACGCCAGACATGTTATTAGCATTGTCATGCGATTGTCCCCTGTAGTCATCGATATTTATATTCAGGTTGGACAAAATTTTTACAATGCTGGCTTACATATCTTCGACTTTGTGGATAGTGTTGTCTAAAAACTGTATGAACCTCTTAACAGGTGTTCCGGTGCAATACATAATAATGAATGTCAGTTGATCTGTACGTGTTATATCAGGCGTAGAGACAACACGGATTGAATAATATTTGCCACAATGAATTTGTTTTACAATTTCTTCTATATGAGGTCCAAAAGCACTCGCAAAAATTGAAAACAAATCGTTTTTGATAAATAAGATACTGAATTTCAATATGTTCTTTTAAAAGAGGATCATATTCCACCAACAACTCTAGTAAGGTAGTTGCCACTGCTAGTAGAACCAAATTGTTCGTCGGTTTCTCTAAAAGATAGTCCCCTACTAGCTCAGAATTTTATGACACTAATGACTCTTTGTAATGTGTTTCGCCAATATGTGGTCTCATGTTCAATCTGTTGCCGCAGAGAATCATAGATCTTTCTCATACTCAATGAATTTCTTGAAATAAATTTTTTAAGATATTCTAAACGAACAACTGACCTTTCATAACTGTCACATTTTTCTTTAGCATTTTTCCAGTCGTCAAATCCAGTAAAAAAGGAAAAGTGCAAGTTTCGCTTGAAAAGAGTCGACAATATAAGCACAATAAAGAGCCTGTGCCTTTGAAATAAACTAATCAGTCACGCCGATTTTTTTCACCATTCTTTAAAACTTTATAGAATAGTAATTTAGTGCAGTACCTGTTTTGTATTCCTATTTTTCTTTCTGAAGATTCAAAGTCTAAAGAATAAAGATCCTGTGTTTTGAATCTTTCAGCACTTCATCTACACAATTTCTTGGCCAGAATTTTGGATCTTGTAAATTAACTCAATTAACACCACTTTTAACTAGAAAATTGACGTTCAGGAGAACTCTTTTCAGGATGTAACTCAATATCACAAAATGGGTCTGAATTTGCTGTGGATGAATCATCTCGACGTGATGAAATTCCCGCTGCAAATTTTATTTTATAAAAAAGTAACTAAAACAGTAAAATAAACTTACCTTCTAAAACACCTGAAACTGTTGTAATTGGATCGTCTTGAAAATAAGTGCTCGTTGGTATACTATCTTGCCTGAATTTAGTAAAAAAAAGCTGAATCTTAGGGGGTTTTTAAATACTGCATTTAATTTTTGTTGTTTTTCTAACTTTTGTCGTTTCCAAAATGCACCTTGTTCCCTTCCGCTCATTTTTTAGAAACGTCACGAAAAACACTTCACTAATAAATAAGTAAAATTTGAGACTAGTGACTGTCTCGAAAACTGCGCTAACTCGACTTACTACTGACGACATGGCGGTGTGGGGCCAGACACGCTGCCGCCAGACGCAGTGGCGCTGGCCGATTTCCCGGAAACATGAAACGTGTTTTTGTGCGACCTGCTACCGCAGGCACGGATCTTGTCGGTGACAAGACGAAGTTTTATTACCATGCTATTTAAGAAAATCAAACCCATAAGTTTGAAATATCACATATAGAATTAAAACGTGATGGGAGCGACGTACCGCCTATCAAAATTTAACGCCGGGGCTAATAATCTCATAGCAATCCTTAATTCGGCACTGTTGTTTCCCCTTTCTCTTTAATTTCTTCTAGCTTATTGCAATTGCTATACAAATTTTATAGACAAGAAATTATAAAGCAGATTCAGGTTTTAGATCCAAAAGTTTTTTATCTAAATAAACATAAGCTTTTTAGCCCTCATATTCAGATCCAATTCTAAACTTTAATTGACTAACTTTCAATTTTTCAGTATAACAGACGATAATCTAATTGCTCCACCTTCTAAACCCATAAAATCAAGAACTAGAACAAGAACTAAGAGCGTAAACAAAATAGAAGCAATTGAAGATGAAAAAACAGAAAAACCCGAAAAAATACAGACTAGAAGAAGAAACAGGTAAGTAAAATATGGCATTTAAACATTTTAAAATAGGTGTGATTAGCTGTAAAAATTAAAAATAAGTTGAATCTATCTATTAAAAGGCTGTAGGATGACAAGTCACATCTATTTGTCCGATAGGGTAACTACGCCACCTGTGAAAGAAATCTGAACTACCAACATCTGACATTTCAATCACATTTTATTTGAAACGTTAAGCGGCGTCCTCATTGAGTCGACGTTGTCGATCGACTGTGTTTATCGACACTCTCGACTGAGTGTGTACGCGGCAATCGACTTTGTCGATCGACAAAAGATGTCGATAGGACGTGTCGCGACTGGTTTTCCGTGCTCTGTCGGTAAAATCAACGGTAGTCGAGTCGAATCGGAAGTGTGTACGTGCATTCGACGTTCGACCTTCGACATTATATAAAAAATACAGTAAAAATAATTCAGCGTGCGGTGTAGTCTGCCTCATTTAAGTCTCGTGTTTTGTACTTGTTGGCAAAATGGAATGGGAAAAAGAAAAAGTGATTGCATTTATTGAAGCTTATAATTAAAAACAAATCTATGGAACACTTAGAAGCAAAAATTATAAGATCGAAACTTGAGGCACGATGCTTTGATGGAAATTGCCAGTAAATTTAACATAGAAAAGCAAGTGGTAGAACAAAAAATAAAAAATCTTCAAAGCCAGTTAGCAAGCGAAATAAAAAAAACAAAGGATGGCAATAAAATCTGGCAGTGGCACGGATGATGTGTACAAAAGTAAATGGTTTGCTTATGAAAGTTTAAGGATTTTTACGTGACAAAAATAAGACCAGAGAGACGTTGGATTCAGAGGTATGTATAAATTAAATATATTTTACACCTACAATGTCTTTTTTATTAGGCTACATAATATTAATATACACATTTTATCACTTTAATGTATTGCCAAGGCACTTCTCCTTCTGGTGTCATAAAATAGTCTTTTAACACGTTTCTCACATGTAGAGCACTCAGTGCACTTTTTCTGGGTATTTTTGCTAAGTTTACTAATGCAGGTTGATTACAAACTTCACTTCTCCAAGCTCCTGGAATCAGTCTGTGGTGTCAGAACAGTCAGCATCGTATGTTCCAGGAGGATTGTAAATATTCCTGGATGCGCTTTTTCTAAGAAAGTTGTGCAGATAACATGCTGTTAAGATTATTTTAGAAGCAGTAGTCAGTTCTAATAGCATTGGTTTGCGAAAAACTCTAAATACGCTAGATATTATGCCAAAAACATTTTCAGATAATCTCCGGGCCCTGCTAACGCGATTAATTAAATACTCTTTCACTAGAACCTTTAGGGTGAAGCCCTGCATAAGGTTTCAATATGTTTGTAGACAGAGGAAATGCATCATCTGCCACAAAAATGAATGGGCTTTTTACATCACTCTTTGGAAGCAGGTTTTTCGCAGGCAAATGCATTGTATTCTCTTCAAGAAATTTATTGAATACAGTGCTACTAAACCACCATCAGAAATACGCCCTTGGCATCCCACATTGGCATAAATAAAATTATAATTTGCATCGACTACGGCAAATAAAACAATACTGAAAAATCCTTTGTAATTAAAAAAATTCACTGCGCTATTTATTGGGGCTTGCAATGCTACGTGTTTTCCGTCCATAGCTCCGACTCAGTTTGGAAAGTTCCAACGATTGTAATAGTACTCTGCAATAGCTTTCCATTCTGCCTCAGTTTTAGGCATCTGAAATAAAAAGACCTATTTATTTTTATTATCTAACCTATTTAATTTCTAATTAATCTAATATATATACTCTTGATTACAGGTTTCAACTGAAGTAGATACTTTGGAAGTTAAAGGAGATGTGAATGACATCACTGAAAATGATGAGAATAGTCAGGATTTTATTACCACAAATGATTTCAAGAGAAAACAATCTAGCAGAATGTAATAATGCAAATGCTGGAAATGCCGAAAAAGTTGAACGCACAAAGAGAAACACAAGTCCGAAAAAAACAGTTCAAGTCACCAAATCTTGACCATGTGCATTCCAAGAAAAGGAAAGTGATGACCCAATGGTTATTGATGCATACAGGATGATGGACACAGGTGTTTTTGGCAGAAATAAAAAGGACGTCTTTAGCGTATTTGGAGAAGAAGTTGCTGTTACATTACGAAATTTGCCTACCACTTATGTTCAAGCTACAGTGCAACACATGATAAGCACGATTCTGTTTGAAGGAAAATTGGGCAAATTACAACTATCCAGTATCACAACAGCCACCACCGCAATATTATCCTCAGCATCAGCTCCAGCAGTACCCTGTTGGTTCAATAACGACTTTAATACCGCACACCATCCCAGAGCATTCTTCATGTTCTTCTTTTACTAACCCCTCAACTCCGGCAGAATCAGGTACTGAAGATGACGAAGCCATAGATAATTTAATTCAACAACTACAACGTCCGGGCGTGGCACTTCACAATAAGCACAGTAGATATTATAACCAGCATTATTTTTAATTTTGTGTTTGATTACGTACATTTATTTGAAAACTTAGTTTTATTTTCCGAATTAGTTCACTACATTTTACTACTTTGGTAGGTTTTTGTAAGTTTCGTTTTAGTTAATAAAATTCGATAATGTAATTATAATATACCTCTTTCAGTATGAATGTAGTTTTAGTAAAACTCTACTTACCTTTATGTAATCTTGTAATGTGTCAATAAGGGCATCGCAGACTTCCGGAATAATTTAAGAAATTGCTTGTTTTGAAATTTTGAAGAGATACATCAGTGAGTGATACGAATCTCCACTACATAAAAATCGTAATGTCACAGCGAGACGCTCCTTTGTTGGAATGGCATGTCTCAATAATTGGTGTCTTGCTTACAAATTTTTGGCCCGATTTTTTGCAACAAATATTCAAATTCACTTTCCGACATTCGAAAAAAATTTCTGAAACCTCCGTTACATCTGTATTCACGGTTCAATAGATCGATATCATCCTTTTTCAAATCTTCCATCAGGTTACTACCGCTATACCGATTTTTACTTTGAAGGCTTGGTCGAACCCAAAATCTTCTTTTACGCGATGATTTACGTTTTTTTAGTTGTGATAATAACAAATGCGGCACAAACAATAATGGCGTCATCTTCGTCACACATTTTCGTTTCGACTGTCGACAAATATTCTGCCTACCTGGTGTGGACATCGAAGCTTTTTCGATTTGTCGGTCGACAGTGTCGATAGACAGAGTCGATCGACAATGTCAACTCAATGAGGACGCGCTTTACAGTTGATTTATTGCTAGTTCATTCGACAAATTGATGATTCAAATATCCTTACTCAGAAATTTTACTACTTCATCCGTAATTAATGTTTCGCAAAAACGTCAACCTTTTTACTAAATATAAAATAAAATAATAGTAAATTAAATAAAATTAAGTAAAATTAAATTAAATTAAATTAGATGTAATAATAACCAAACTGAAGTTATTAAACATAAATATAAGATAATACTAAAATGTAAATGATGAATAAATTCTATACAATATTTAACAATTTTTAGAAATTAGTAAAACCATTTGTTAAAATTTTCAAAAAACTGTGTGGTTGTATTATAAAAAAATATATAAACAATTCAGTAATAAGCAGAGTTACCTATAAGTATATATTCTATTTTATTATTTCAGAACAAGGCCAACTAAAGAAAAACAAGACAAACAGGAAATCCAAGAGATTTCAAACTAAACGTAAAAACAGAAGGAAAGAAATTAAGGATACATCAAGGGAGGAAACATCTAGCTATAGCAGTCTTAAAGTAGTAACTCCCAGTTGGACAACACCTGCTCCACCAGCAACACCTGATATGGACGGAGGTAAGAGAACAAAGAATAATTGGTTTTTAAGTATTGAATGCAAATTATTTCTCCCACATATATGATTTTCCATTAGTACAGTTATCTGCCTTTTTTGTCACATGAAAAAGTCATTTAGTTGATTTACACTCATCAAATGATCAATATATTCTAACTATATACTAACTAATAGAGAAATACATAGTCTAATAGAGTAATACATAGTAACCAATAGAGTAATACACACATAGAGTAATACATACGCTTTCTTCCTGGCATAAATCCAGCTTGTTCTATGGAAATATTTCCGCTGACAGATGGCAAAACACACGCGTAGATTATCCTCTCAAAAATCTTATGACGTGTATTTGCCTGGTTTGCAGATTGCGTTGACTTGGGTATATCTTCGCCATATCTTCTGAATTTGGTGATGAAGAAACAATTGTTGGGATGTTAGAGCATGTTTCCAGTTTTCTGAGTAGGTTCCAGGCAGTGTCACTACTATGCGTAAAGTTATGGTTTTCATGAGTTTCCCTCCAGCTGGTGGTTGATTCTTACATATTTCAGAGACTCTAGAAGTTGTTTATCTACCTCTGGGTCTCTGGTTTGCTCGTATTGATCATACAGGTCTTTACATTATTTGGTCCAACATGGAATGTAGGATTTGGTTCGAACCATGGACGTATTAAATAAATATGGACTGGGCATTACCATGCACTCTGTTCGCTAAATTTGAAGTCGAAAAGTTTATAGGCGCGGGGAAAGAAGCGAGGTGATAGACTGTGACATTTCCTTTTAAGTCATCGGCGTACCTTCCAATAATTGAAAGGTATTTGAAACAGTTTTTTTGATTTGAATAAATAATGACTATTGGTTTGATTGCTTTTATGAACGATGAATAATTTTTAATTTTCAGTGTATAGAAATAAATTATATTTATAAAAATTGATTTATACAAAAGAATAAAGATGGGGTAAATAAAATCGCAAGGTACTTTATATAATATTTTATTTAAAACTAAAATAATACACAAGCAATAAAAAGTTTAAAAAATTCTTCCCATACATTAACCTGTTCAGGGTATTGAGTAGTTCTTCTCTTATCCAGTGAGTGATACGTTGAAAACAATGTAGTGAATTATGGTTTATAACTCCAGATTAATTATTATTTGGCAACATTAGAAGTCATGTTAGACAAGCAGTAGGCAGAAGAAAGATAAAAGTTCAGGAATATGTATTTAAGAAAATATTAATAACGTAAGAAAACATAAACTATCGTTTAACAAAACATGAACAACAAACCACATATACAACAATATATAAACACATTAAACCTTATGGATGGGGTAGGTTTCTAAAATAGAAATATGCTTTATTGTCACTGAAAATTGTACAATTTTATGAACAAAACTTACAAAAAGTAAAAAAAAAATAATAACAATTAAAATTTACTAAAATTACAAAAATGGTCAATGTCATATAATAAAAGATAATAAAATTTACAATTCATTGCAAAATCTAACTAAATTGCAAATTGCATAATAAAACTTAGGAGTTTACGAATAAGTTTTAGTTGCTGCATTTGATACCCAAATATATAATACTTTAGTTGCTTGTACCTAAACGTACTGTAATTTCTTAATTTCTCGTTAAGAAACTCTTCCACTGAATAATATGGTCTTTCAGATAGATAGGCTTTTGTTAATTTACAGTACTTAAGGAGAGAAGTTGTAGATTTCAGTTGCAAAGGGAATTAATTGTATAATTTTTTTGTCGAATATAATATAGATTTATTTACTAACTCAGTGGACGAAATCGATAAATACATATCAAAGGTTGAATTTCTGGTGGAAAATTCATGATTGGGTCTTGCTGAAAAAACATGTAGGTGTTTACCAATTAAGAAAATAGTTTTCTAGAATATACAAAGAGGGAAAAGTTAAAATCCCGTGATTTTTATGTAGCTTCTAAAATGTATTATTTTACTGAGGCCAAAAAGATACCGTGTTGCTCTTTTTTGTAATTTAAAAATAACATTATATTGGGTAGCTGTACTAGAACCGCAAGAAGGAAGACCATATCGAAGATGAGACTCGAACAAAGAAAAATATGTTATTTTGGAAGATGCTAAATTCAGCTTCGAAACAGATCGTATTGCATAGCTGGCTGAGATTAGTTTCTTACTTAACAAATCGATATAAAGGGACCATTTAAGGTTGCTGTCTGTAAAAATACCATGAAATTTTAAAGAAACAACGATACTGATCTGGCTGTTATTAAGAAGCAAGGTTTGAAGAGCTCCTTTATAGGATAATGCTACTGTCTTATTCATGTTAAAAGAAAGTAAATTATAGTCGGACCAGGTTTTTATTTTAAGTTGATCAGAAGTTTTATTTGCATGAAAAGGTAAATATAAGAAAAAGTAGAGGACCCAGTACTCAATATTTCGGTACTCTACATACATGCTTTTGTGTCTAGAGTCAGTATTATTTGCTCTAACTGCTTGTTTCCTATTTCTCAAGCAAGATTGGAACCAATTCAAAGAAATACCTCGAATTCCGTTAGAAATTTAGTTTTTTTTATCAAAATGTCGTGAATTACACAATCAAAAGATTTGGCATAGTCTCAAAAAAACAGTGGCAGCGTAAAGATTATTGTTTAGTGCTTAATAGACCTCATGTAATACAGAAAACATAGCATCACTGGTACATTTATTAGATAAAAAGCTGAACTGACTTCGTGATAAAATGTTCATTTCAACAAGAAAGGACATAAGTCGGGCTTTTATAAATCTTTAATCATTTTAGATAGGATGTAATTTTTGTTTTCATTCTTCTTACATATTGTTGTAAATACTTTATTTTACTTTTTTGACTCTTAACAGTATTTTTTAACACTCTAAAATGTTTTTTGATCCTTTCAGGTGTTGAAAAATCGCTGTCTAGACATGTCTTCAATGGTTTTATTTCTAAAACATATAATTAGGTTTTCATAGTTATAATACTTGTTTTTATAAATTAAACTAAGAACTCACTTTTTATAAAATATTACGTGGAACATATGAAAAGTATTATCACCAAGTAACAACTCTACAGTTTCAGTTTCTGATGCTGTAATGGTGCTCGAAGGTGCATTTTCTATATCTATACTTTCCTTGTTTTCTTCATTGTCATTTAAACATCTAGAATAATCAATTTATGTACATTAAAGAAAAATATTAAAATTGGTTTAAGATTGAAATAATCTTATACAAAATTTATCCAAAACTCACCTCCTTTTTAGGAGAATTAGATTTTACATTAAGGCCCAAGTCTGTCTCCATATTACATTTTTCAGTATCAATGAAACTCCTAAAATACTGTGAGTAATTTTAATATTAAAATGAAATAAGTAATTAAAATCCACATTTAGATTTATTTGTAAATTTAATTAACAAATTTGATCCAAACTCACCTTTTTGACGGTCCATAAAAATCATCCATATCAATACTACTGGAAGTTGTTTCATTATTTTCCATATCGTTTGTAGAACTGAAACATTGAATTAATATGCTATGCGTGTGCATTATATTAATTATACTCTGTATAGTAAAATTACATAGAAATTCGTTATAGTTACCTTAGTTCTGATAATTTATGATAAATATTTATTGAGAACAGTTCCTTTCCTCATATTAACCCGTCCACTTGGTTGCATAATTAGATCATGCTTTCTAAAGTGTTCTGAGCAGACCATAGCAGTTTTGGTTACTTGTTCTTTATTTAAGCCGAACATAGACAACCACATATCTAGCAGCTGTTGATTCTTTACTGGGAACCTGCATATGATATTTCTTTGAAATTAATATATTTATAGCAATTATAGTGTAGATTAGAAAAAATAAATAAATGTATTTATAATACGACAAAATTTACTTTATTTCACAAAATTTAATTTCAATTCATGTCAAGAATTAAGTAATATCACATCCCTGTACTACGCTCATGGACGTAATTCCAATGTTTACTTACGAACGAAATGACAGTTCTGGATGAAAATATTAACAAATTCACTAAAATGTCACAAAAAAGGAAAATATCAACTCAAAGGTAAACAGTACAACGCCATATTCCTTTTTCTCAAATCACTACGATTGGTTAATATTACTAATAATGCCAAGTTTTACATAAAGTTAACATTATCAGAATATATTTTCTTTTAATAAATTAAAAAATTAATGTTTTTCTTTTAATTCCTTGGTTGCGAAATGAGTATATCTAAAAATAGTTTATACTAACTAAATAATACATTTTTATCTATAAATTAAAATTAAATTATACTAAAAATCGAAAATTATTTCGAAGATTCGCTTGGAAAAAAAATAATATGACAACGTCAATTGTGTCTATGACTGTGACGATCTCATGGCTTCAAATACAGATGTAAATAGCCGGTCCTTCTTTATTTATACGTCCATGGTTCGAACGTGTAGAATGTGTTTGTTAGCAACGCTAATTATGAATTTGGTCTGTTATAATCCTTCAATTACCCCCTCTGTGGCTCAGTGGTAAGAGCGCCTGCCTTTAAACCTAAAGGTCGTGAGTTCGAATCCCACCTGGGTGGAATTTTCGTTTATTAAAAAAATTAATAAATGATTTAAAAGAAATAATTTCTATCCTTGTGTGATCGGTACACACCGGAGGGACCGCAGACGTTCGGATACAATTAGCGTCTCTTAGCAAAGACAATGACGTCGACTTTGCTAAGTATCAAGACAATTACTCTACACATACACACACACTACACCTCAAATTGTAAGATTGGCGAATGGATTTAGTGTCCGCAGTCATTTAAACACAAACAAACAACAACAACAATCCTTCAATTGGGCTGGATACTTATTCCAGTTTGCCTTACGAAAGTTCCATCTGCCCAATGAATTGAAATTATAATGGAAATAGTGATGTCCATAGTTATTATTACTGGCCTAAATTGCCAATTTGGCAATTTATCAAAAACTTCTTGGTGGCATGGTTATTGCAATCGTCTTAGGTGGATATAAATGTTAGTTCTGGATTATAGTCTTTTACTATATAGCAAAGAAAAAGATAGGCTTCTGTTTAGAATTATGAAAACAGGGGATTTTATTGCACATGTGGTTCAGTTCAGAGAATTATATGAAGAAATACATGAAAAACAATGCTTTGGACTATAAAACTAGCAATAGCATTGAATATAGCAGTTATTAACACATTTTTTCAAAAGGGAGACAGTAAAATAATCACATACACATGTGGACAAAATATTTCTCACCATTTTATTATACAAAAACAGGATAAATGTATTTTATCCTTTTGATATCGGTATGATCTAAGATAAAAACTTACGGAAATATAATTATGAAAGTCGATAAGGCATTGGTTATTAGAATCCTTGCTGTTCCTTACGTAAATCCATAAATTTCTACTGATCGGAATTTGTCTTTAAAAATATGCATTTAATATATTTTTTTATAGGTTTTAAATGTGAAGACGATGGTTTTTACCCACATCCAAAAGATTGCAAAAAATATTATTGGTGTCTAAGTGGAGCAGGCGACTCTATTATAGCTCATCAGTTCACCTGCCCAGCAGGTAAGTTTGACTTTATATTCCGAAAAACTCTTTTGCTTATTTTGTAAATCATGAAATTTATTTATAATATATTTTAGGTTTATACTTTAATAAAGCCGCTGATTCATGTGACTATACACAAAACGTTCTATGTAACAAAAAGATGCAAAAAGTTACCACGACTACGACTACTACGACAACGTCAACTACAGCAAGAAGTCAAGATGCGTCATCTACATCTTCGCCTTCTTCTCTTCTATTCTCTACAAGAGTGCCATCCAAAATAGGAGCTGGAAGTAGGTCTATTTTCAGACACACGACAACTACAACAGAAGCATATGAGGTAATAATGAATGTAAATGTTTTATAAATTATTCTAAATACTCCTTTGAAATTCTTCATGATACTATCGTTGAAAATATGAGATCGTGAGAAACACGAGCAATGAAAAAAACATTTTCTCATTGCTGTTTAGATTTAATTTTAGTTCTGGTATTAGCTACTGTACGCCAGAATGTACGTGAGTAGCCAAACCAGAAGAGGCATGCAGAATTCGTTTACCTATTGATTAAATTACAGGGTTGCTACTTCTTCTTCTTCTTCTTCTGGTTCCTATCCATTTCGGAATGTTGGAAATCATATTGGCAATCATAACCTTGCTCGCTGCGGCTCGAAACAGCTCCGTTGAGGTTTTCTTAAACCATGTTCTTAAATTCCGCAGCCATGATATTCTCCTTCTACCGGTCCTCGCTTACCTTTGACTTTACCTTGCAATATAGACTGCAGCAGGGAGTAACGGTGCTGATTTCTCATAACGTGTCACAGATATTGCAATTTTATGCGTTTGATCGTAAACACAATCTCTGGTTCCTTCTTCATTTTTCCTAGAACTTCCTTGTTCGTGATCCTTGCTGTCCATGATATTCTCAGCATTCTTCTATAAAGCCACATCTCAAATGCTTCAAGTTTTTTAATAGTGGTGTCTGTAAGCGTCCATGCCTCCGCCTCGTACAACAACACAGAGAAAACATAGCATCTCAAATGTCTCATTTTTGTATCTAGGGATATGTTGTGACTTTTGAAGATGGCGCTCATTTTGTTAAAGACCGTTCTTGCCTTTCCTATGCGGCACTTTATTTCCTGTACATTGCTCCACTGTTCGTTTATAATAGTTCCCAGGTAGCAATACTGTTTTACTCGCTCTATCTGCGTCCATTAATGTCTAGATGAGCCCCGTTTATATTCTCCTTGCTGATAATCATTTGTTTCGTTTTGTGGGTATTAATGTTTAGTCCGTACTGTTGACTGTACTCGTTTATTCTGTCCATTAGCCTCTGAAGTCCCTCTAAACTATCTGGTATTACCATGGTGTCGTCGGCATATCTAACATTGTTTACTCTTTCACCATTTAGAAGGATGCCTTCGTCTATTCCGTAAAGATCCTCGTTAAAATTTTTCTCTGAGTACATATTAAATATCAACGGCGATAGGATACATCCCTGTCTAACTCCACGTAGTATTTTTATGTGATCTGTTTCTTCTCCGTTAATTTTCATGTATGCGGTCTGATTCCAGTAGAGTTCTGAAATTATTCTGAGGTCTTTGTCATCCAGGTCTGCCTCTTTTAAAATGTTTATCATCTTTTGATGTTGAACTCTGTCAAATGCCTTTTCATAGTCGATCAAGCACGCGTATAACTCGCAGTTAACTTCCCTGCATCTTTGAATCAGTACCTGTACTCCGAAAAGTGCCTCTCTGGTACCCACTGCGTTAATGAAGCCGAACTGTCTGTCCGATATTTTTGTTCCTCGCACTTCTTATAAATTCTTCCATAGATGACTCTAAGAAACAGTTTCAACATGTGGCTCATTAGGCTGATTGTTCGATATTCTTCGCACTTTTTAGCCCCCTGTTTTTAGGTATCGCTATGAATTCTGATTCTAGCCATTTATCAGGGGTAATTCCTGTATTGTATATTTTATTGAAAACAGCCGTGATCCAATTAATTTCTTCCTCCAAGAGTTTTAAAAATTCAGCTTCGATATTATCAGGCCTTACAGCTTTCCTACTTTTTATCCGTTTTATTGCTTCTTCTACCTCGGATTTAAGTATGTCCGTGTTAATTAGAGTTTTTCCGTGTCCACATTAGCTTCGCTTTAATTACCTTCTTCATTAATTTAACCATGACACGTGGCAGGGAAATTTAGTGACATAATTCTATAATTACTCTAGTTACAAATAAAAATATAAAATAAAAGTAATATACAAAATAGATAGAATCAGTTATATTTTGTCCACTTTTTCTACATTTCTATTATATAATGCCTGCGAAACTGATAGAAGTGGATGTTCAGATGGCAGTATCTTTTTTTCTAAAGGAACTCCCATTGGTAACATAGGCCGGTATCCTGCGTATGTTGTACATTGTGGTATGTCGTGAGGATATCTTAACTTTTCTTCGCTAATTAATTTGCTAATAGTTTTCTTCGTATCGATTGGTACTACATCTTTTAAAGGATCAACGCAAGCTCCACAAATAACTGGATTTTCAACTTCCTTTCTCAGCCAATATTCTCGTGTTGGATCTGGATCACCTCTAAGTTGATTATCGTCCCAATCTTTACCCATTTTTCGAAACTTCTCTGGTAATGGGGTCACAAGATTTAATTTTAAAGATACTTTATCGGAAGTTTCAATTTTATCAATTTTTGGTTTAATTTGTTTGAAATTAGCCGTAGCTTCCCTCTCCATTTTTCTCCATTCAGTAGTATAGGTGTGGTCCAAGAGTATATTTCTTAAAGTTGGATCCTCTATATTATCTAACGGTATAGCTGGCAAAAGAAATACTCTTGGTCTAGTTTTTATTGCTTCCTCCTTGGATCCATCTATAATCTTCGGTAGCTCCTAAAAGAATTTAATGATTTAACACATGCGACAGAAATAAGACACTTTGTAAATTATGCATCAAATATAAATTTGATGGGTTTGTGATGCAGAAACTTCATATCCAATTTCTGGACAAGTATATATCGGTAAAGGACTGAATGGTCCAGAAAGAATGGGAGAGAATGAGTTGTAAGGGATTTATGCATGCAGTTCAAAGGATCGAGTAAAAACGTCACCATGGACAATTTTTTCATGACGTTACGTTTGGCTTCGTTATTGCTTAGCTGGAAGCTTTCAATCGTAGTAACATTACAGCAAAACAAATCCTATATTCCACAGAAGATGAAAAAAAACATACATTATGAGGAACGCTCCTTCGTTTTTTTTTGGTCCTTCGTGTTTGGTTTCAGTAAGGATGACAAAGTAACTATTTGCTCATATGTCCCAAAGAAAGAACGTTTTTTTTTAACCTATTCTCTATCCTTCCATTGTTGAATATAGGTCTCCCCCAGTTCTCTCCATCTTTCCCTATCTTGAGCTGTTCTCTGCCATGTGAGACCTCCTTGTTTCCTGATGTCATCTTTCCACCTCATCTGTGGTCTGCCTCTTGATCTCTTTGCATTGTATGGACGCCACTTTCCGATGGCATTGTTCCATCGTCCGTCTTGGAGACGTTCATTGTGTCCAGCCCATTTCCATTTCAGTTTTGCTGCTTGTTCTATCGCGTCTACTGTCTTTGTTCTGGTTCTGATCCACTGGTTACGTTTTCTATCTCTAAGTGATACACCCAACATTTGTCTCTCCATCGCTCTTTGTGCCTTCCTTATCCTATCCAAATTGGCCTGTGTAAATGTCCATGTCTGTGCTCCGTAGGTGAGCACCGGTATTATACAGGAGTTATATACCTTGCTTCGTAAGTATAGAGGGATTGTTTGATTTTTTAAAACGTAAGAAAGTTTGCCGAACGCTGCCCATCCCATTCTTACTCGTCTCGATATTTCGGCTGTTTGATTTTCTCTGTTAGCTCTGATTGCTTGTCCTAGATAGATATACTCATTTACCTGTTCTTTTTTTCTGTTTTTATTTTTGTTGCCTCTTGATCTTCCGTGTTTGTCATTACAAAGAAAGAACGTATTGTTACTCTACTTTTAACAATACACAACGATATTAGCATTATCTACGCTAAGAAAAAACTGGAAGTTATATTGTACTAAAATACTATTAAAGAAGGCGTATACAAGATGAGCAAAATGGTTACCTATTATATAACCAAGAGAAAGACCCTTCGTTGGTTTCAAGCGATATTTTTCAATATGTTAGATATAGCTGCCTTAGCACCTTACATAATTTATTCTGAAAATTATCCCACAATGCGCATATCAACGCACACTCTATGCCTGAAGTTGAAATGCGCTCAAAAACATGTAAGTTTTTGAAACATTTTGCTACAAAATTTGGAATAGAGGCTTTTCTAGGGCATCAAATCGCATTTCCGAGTTGATATTTTTATTGTTATTAAGTGTCTGAGGATTTCCTGTGACGAATTTGTTTTGAATCATGGAGGCTTGTCAGTGTATTTGGTTCTTCTACCATGGGATAGACGATATAGATATTCCACAATATTATAAAGGAAAAATTGAAACATGCAAACAATCTGTTAATGTTAAGCTTCTGATATTGGAGTCTAAAAGATGAAGAACCAAGAAAAGTTTGTCATAGCTTTGGTCGAAGAACAAAGAAAAAAAAGTATGTGATAAATGATAATGAAGCCCTTTTTATTGCAAAAAATGTGACTACATCACTACAAATCAAGTATTGTTTTTTTTAATATATTTAAATTATACATAATTTACCTCAAACGGTTTTTGTGGATCACTATGCAAAATAGGCTTACCACCAACATGCAATTCAAATGGGACATGGACATCTTGACGTAGTTTTGAAAAAGTTTCATGATCCTCCTTTTCATACGCTTTTGACGGCTTTTGTGGTTTCTCGTCGCGACTTTTTTGATAATCGTATGTTGTACGGGAAATGTCTGAGTATTTTTTGAAATCATTCTGATATGTTGTTGTGTAAGACGTTGAAAATAAATCTTTTTTAATACTATTGTCATAAAATTCCATATTTTGACAGAACGATACTATTAAATCAAATAAAAAATAAACTTATGTCCAGTTGCACCAACAAATAAACGATTGATTTTTGATTTGATTGCTCGTTTATTTTAGAATATGTTGCACCAACCATTACTCGATTGGAACCGACTGTTTTTGATCTGTCAAAAGTAACCAACCGATTTTCTACGGTTATTTAAAAAATCGACTGTTTTTAACCTCACTTTTACACTGTTTATATTATTAAAGTGTTTTTAGCAAAGGTTTTATTTAAAGTATTATCACAGAATAATAAACAATCAGAATGCCCACTCTCCATGGAAAATTAAGTACGCGCATCTCGTACGCGCAGACGTTCCGCCATATTTTAAAGGGAACCAGTGTTGTTTAATGAAAACTCGACTAAATTTGACAACACCGAATACAATGGCAAAACTACTGCCGCTGTTAAACCGCCTCATGTGTTTTAAGCCGCGCGGCAGCCGACGAGGCGCAGACGCTGCCCAAACCGCCCTGTCTGTGTTTAACTTAACCGTGACTTGACGACATTTCTTGTGCGTAACCCGTGGATGTTTTGTGTAATATGTTTGTTAAGTAAATTCGCTTATTATATTCGGAAACTGCGAAGTTTCGAGCGAGTACCAATCCAATGAATTCAAGATTTATTTTTAATCAAGAATTTCAAGAAAAGTTGCGTAAGCGCTAACATCAAGCCCAGGACCAAGCAAATTACCCTTTGGGAGTTAAACGGTTTGACCACCGCTCTATCAAGGCAGTCATATCAGAGTCGTAGTGATCATGATATTTTTTATTTAGAAATGTTTTTGAATTAGACTAAGATTTCTTAATGTTTATGATTTTTTTGTATTAACATGTTATTACTTTTGAGTTTTTGATTCATGTCTAAATCTGTAGGATATAAAAAATATTGTTTTCTCTTCTAGGATGATGATGAAGAATACGATGATGACGAAGAAGAAGAGGATAAAAAAGAGTCAGAAGAAGATCCTCGAGTCATTAAAGAGTTAATTGAACTTATAAAAAAAGCAGGTAAGGAGTTTTCCTTTTGTTCTAATAATTTTTGTTTATGTGTATTACCTCTTAAATCAACTTGTTATCTTGGCTAATATGATTATAATAGTTATATAATATTATGACCATCTCTCCGTCAGTGACTTTTTAATATTTCGAATATAATTTATAAATAACATCTCTTTTGGCATAAATAACTTTCTTATAACCATTTCCTTTGTAAGATCAAACGTAAATTTTCATTATCAATATTTTTATTTAATTTATTTTTTGATTAATTTTATCATATCATTTCAGGTGGTCTCGAAGAATTAGAAAAGCAATTTAAAGTAAAAGGAGAGTCGCCCAGTAATAGCAATGTAGAAGTTACTACTAAATCATCAATTTCAAAAAGCTTGTACGAAAGAGTATTAAGTAAAGCTATAAAAAATACTCCAACTTCGAATGGTAAAAACAGGTAACTCAACTCTTGAACATGCTATAAAATATCACCAAGATGTCATAAAAAGTCTCAATATATTTCTTAAGCTGGGCAGTTCATACGGACAATTCCCACCTCCTCTATATATTGGTTGGCGATTCTAGCACGGTGAGGACGCGCGTTGTTGTCTATAAAAATAAATTCGATCCAATGAAAGGAGCAAAAGGTACCACATGCTAATCTAAAATATTTGTTATGTATCTTGCAGCAGTCATAGAACCTCTATCTACATTAACTAAATCAGTATGGGCTTCTGAACTGATACCAGCCCAAACCATAACGGAGCCCCCCTCCCTCGATAACTTATTCGTTCCGCAATATTACATTGAAAATATCGCTCTCCGTGTCTTCTCCAAACCCTTTCTCGGCCGTCTGGTGGCCGTAGACGAAATCTGGACTCATCTGAGAACAATACATTGCTCCAATCTGCATCACTCTAGTTTTTATGTTCTCTTCCAAAAGCAAGGTGAGCTCTGCGATGTTCTATGGATAGTATTGGAGATAGGGCTGGCCTTCTGGATAATAAATTACCTTCTACAAGTCGTCGATAAACTGTCCATCTGCTTACATCCACATTTCTCACTTCGCTCAGACGATTTGCCAGTTCAACTGAAGTTAGATGCTGATTTCTCAAACATGATGAAACCAGAAATCGATTATCTCTTTAGGATGTCACCCTTCTACGACCTGATCCTGATCTTCTGGTGAAGTTAACGGTGTTGCTAAAACGCCGAACTGCTCTTTGAATCGAAGATCGACTAACACCCAACATTTCAGCTGCATAATATTGGCTACGACCATCTTAAACTAAAGTCACAGCCCTTGCAGCATCTGTCGGAGTTAGAGACATTTAGGAAGGATAATTAAATAAAAATATAACAGGTTTTGAAAATAAAATCACTACACTAGTATGGTTAGTGAATTAAAAACAACATTCAATAAATATCTACTTGCTTCAGACCCTTTTTGACAAAAACCTGAAATACCAATTTGTTTTAGGAAATATAAAAAGCAATATGAAAAATATTATTTTATTTCTCGTATACGAGGGTACACCTAAATTTACATACGTAATTTAATGTCTCTAAAATTATACAACTTCAAATAAATAAGGAATGGATCGATTTTTTTGCACCTGGGTGTAGTTATCAAATCCTGTTGTTTCCATACATTTAAAAAGTCGATCATGTTGAATTCGAGTGCATATCTTAGTTCTTTCTAAAGTAATATTAAGTTTGGATCTTCTCTTCTTAGAGTGCCATATCCCTACGAAACGTCGGCGACTACCATGCTTATAATATTATTATACTGATCTCGGTCTTGCGCTACGTGTAGCAATTGGTCCGCTGTCAAACTTGTCCACTGCCGCAAATTCCTCAACCAAGAGAGTTTCTTCCGTCCTATCCATTTCTTTCCTTCGATTTTACCGTTGAGAATTAGCCGAAGGAACTCATATCTTGGTCCTCTGATTATATGTCCAAGATATTCTAGTTTACGCCTCTTAATAATATTTAATAGAGTTCGTTGATGTCCCATTCTTCGAAGAACTTCTTCGGTTCTGGTTCTGCTAGTCCATAGAATTTTAGTATCCTTCGATACAACCACATGTCAAACGCCTCGATTTTATTCATGATATCGGCGTTTAAAGTCCAAGTTTCACATTCATACAAAAGTACAGACCACACGTAACATCTTGTAAACTTTTCACGGATTTCCAAATTTAATGAGCTATTGGATAATAGAGGCTTGAATTTTTGAAATGAGTTTCTTGCCTGTTCAATTCTACATCGAATTTCGAAGGATGGATCTAGATTTTGGGTAATCCAACATCCAAGGTATTTGAATCTCTGAACTCTCTGCAGCGGTTGTTGGTTTAATATCAGTTGGGTTGCGCCGATATCCACTTTACTGGTCACCATGTATTTAGTTTATTTATCGATATTTATCGACAGTCCCCAATTTATGCATTCCATGTCAACTCTATTGATTAGCTCCTGCAGATCGTCGATGTTTTCAGCTAGAATCACAGTATCGTCGGCGTACCGTATATTGTTAATTATTTCTCCTCCTACGATAATTCCTTTTTGATCTTTTAAAGCTTCCCTAAATAGATTCTCAGAATACACGTTAAAGAGGGTGGGAGATAGTATACAGCCTTGTCTTACGCCTCGTTCAATACTGATTGGCTTTGATTCTCTGTTGTTGGTATTAATAATGGCTGTTTGGTTCCAGTAAAGTTTGGCAATAAGTTTGATGTCTTTCTCATCTAGTTGGATGCTCTGCAAGGCGGTAATTAGTCTGGTATGCTGAACGCGATCAAATGCCTTTTCAAAATCAATGAAGCACATATATACGGGTTTTCTTACCTCCCAACATCGTTGAAGGAGTGTTTGCATAGAAAATAGTGCTTCTGTAGTTCCAAGGCATCTCCGGAACCCGAACTGCTCTTGACTTATTATTTCTTCGCACTTGTTGTTAATTCGGTTTAGAAGAATATGCAACAGTATTTTAACGGCATGGCTCATTAAACTAATGAGTCTACAATCGCTACATTTCTTAACGTTTGGTTTCTTATGTAGAGGAATAAAGATCGATTTTAACCAGTCCGATGGAATTTCACTGGTATCATATATTTGATTGAAAAGTACAGTGAGTTCATTTATATTGTCATTTGAGAGTAATTTTAGCCATTCGCTGTATATTTGATCTGGTCTACTGGCTTTGTTATTTTTGGCTTGGTGTATGGCTTTTTCCACTTCGGCTTTTAAGATTGATGGTCCTGTATTTGCACTTAAGTTAGGTAGTGATCCTCATTCATCCTTAAATAATACTTTAATGTAGTTTTCCCATTCCTCCATTACTTCTTCTTCTAGGGATAGTGCATGACCTTCATTATTCGTTAATGTTATGGGTGTATTTCTTTTGTGTACTGTTACTTCTTTTATTTTCTTATGTGTGTTAAATTCGTCATGTTTTCGTTGCAATTCTTCTAGTTCCTCACATTTTGCTCGCATCCATAACTCTTTGGCTTCCCTGATTATTCTTCGAATCAGATTATGCTTTCGTTTGGATCATTTTGTAGTTAATATTTAGTCTTAGAACCCTGACATTTTCTAACAATTTCTCGATATAAAAAATTAACGTCTTGAATTTCTTGTTTATATTATTGAGTCCTTGAGTGTACCTATTTTTCTGTTGTTCAATCGGTACTGAATCGGTATAGAAGATATTAGTCACCGCAAAATTCTAGTTTTCACCAAATTCGAGAAGTCGGTCCCTTCGTTCAATTCTAATGCCTACTACAAATCGCTCTGAGAACCTTCTACTACCCTTTCTTAACCTACTTTAACCTAAAAGTCTACCATAATCATAGATATATAATACAAAGTGACTGAGTGACTGACCACGCGACCTTCTCATTGGTAAATTAGGTCACGTGGTCAAAAAATCCGGCCTATTAAAAACAGATCTAGGCACTTATTTGCTTCAGTTTTCTCTGTCACACTGGAAGAACGACTCTATATTGCAACGCTCAGTCTACTTGTATTATATATCTATGACAATAATTCTAGTTATTTTATCTTATTTCTTCGATTTTATGACTTCTTCAAATCTTTCAACGAATGTTTTCATAATTAGTCTTTATATAAGGTTTCTCTTATAACAAAAAAACCTCTTATATTTTATTTACCATATTATCATTTTATATAGAATTTTTTTCATATGATTAATATATAATAAAACATTTTTCTTTCTAGAAATACCATCTTTAGAAATAGCAGAGGACCACAAAGTGAGAAAACAGAAGACGAACTCAAAGAAGAAACTAAACCAAAAATAGAAAGAGGCAAATTGCAATATACATCAATTTCAAGATTTAGGTAAATACTTTTTTAAGAAACAACAATATACATAATGAATATCTATATACTTGATACTTGATATTATACTTGACCTTTTTTACAGACCTTCAGTTGCACGTGAGAAAAAAGCTGAATCTGTCGAGGACGATGAAGATATCGAACATAATAACGAAGATCAAACCAGCAAAAGGTCGTCTGACAAATTCCCAGCTTACACGAATATAAGACGTGCTAGAATCAGTACAACAAGTGAACCGTCAAATGATAGGTAAGGATATCAAATTAATAAACGTTAATCAATCAAATTAATTAATATATTGATAAAGGAACTATATCCAGAAACTGTAAAACATGTATTATGCGATTGCCAGGCGCTGAACCGCAAAATACAAAAACTATATGGGAAACCAAGAGGAGACCCTGGTATATTTAGTATTGTCACAGCATAAGAAACAAATTACATATATTTGTATGTATGCTGTGTCACTAGCATGTATCAGACACTTTCAATCGGATTTAAGTTCGACGAACATGTAGGCCAATTAATGGCCGGTATTTTGATTTGGTTTCAAAGGTCAGTTACGTAATTTTTAGGAACGTTTTGTAAAATGCATTGATTTAAAAGGAACCCAGACATGTGTTACTTAGATAATATGATCGTCAAAAGTCGTAGTTGCTTAATTTAATTTTAATTTTTGATTACTGCTTAATTCTTTTTCTTTCTTATAACTTATTCTTCTTCTTTGAGTACATTGCTCAAGTTTTAGGCGTGGGTAGCTTCCATGACGATTTGCCGATATCGTTCTCGATCTTGCACGACATGTAATAATTCATCTGCTGATAAACCAGTCCATCGACAAAGGTTTCGGAGCCATGAGCATTTCTTCCCACCAATTCCTCTTTTTTCGTCGATCTTTCCATTGAGTATCAACTGCATTATCCTGTATCTGCTTCTTCTTATTATATGCCCCAGATATTCGAATTTTCTCTTGTTTATCATCTTTAATAAGTCACCTTCACCTTGACCTACTCTGTTCAAGACTTCTCTGTTTGAAAATTTGTTGAACCCAACATATTCTGAGCATTCTACGATATAACCACATCTCGAAGGCTTCTAATTTGTTTATCATGTTAACCTTCATAATCCAGGTTTCACATCCGTATAGTAATACAGGATACACATAACATTTTAGGAACTTAATTCTCAGCTGTAAGTTCAGCTGAGAATTACTCAGAATAGATCTAAGTTTCATAAATGCTCGCTCCTCTTGCAATTTCTATATGAGTTTTAATTTCTTCAACCTTATTTAGTGTCTCGTTTATCCAACATGCTAGATATTTAAAATGGTTAACTTTTGTTATCGATTCATTGTTGACAATTAGTTGTATAGCGCAGAGGTATTGTTTACTAACCACTTGTAACTTTGTCTTTGTTGTAATTATGCTTAGTTTATTATTAGAGCATTTTCTAGTAATTCGATCCATAAGGAATTGAAGATCTTCAATTCTTTCAGCCATGACCGCGGTGTCATCTGCATATCTGATGTTGTTAATACTTTCTCCCCCGATTCGAACTATACATTGCCCTTCCAAGGCTTCGTTAAAAATTATTTCTGGGTAAACGTTAAACAAAGTTGGGGAAAACACACAACCCTGTCTAATACCTCTTTGAATACGAATTGGGTCTGTTTCTTTGCCCTCTACCAAAATAAAAGCTTCCTGATTCCAATATAGATGTTGTAAAAGTCTCAGATATTTATCATCTATTCCAATTATTTCTAGATATTCAAACAGCTTACCATGTTGAACCCTACAAAACACCTTCTCAAAATCTATCAAACAGACGTAAATTGGTTTCTGTACTTTCCATGATCGTTAAAGTAGTGTTAAAATTGAGAACAAATATGTTCCCAATCCTTCTATGAAACTGAATTGTTTTTTTTTCCATTGTGTCTTCATATTTCTGCTTGATTCTATTAAGAATTATCCTAACAAGTAGCGTGAGAGTGACTCATGAGACTAATTAGTCTCATGAGATCATATTAAATCATAATTAAAGTCTTTACATGATGATGGATTAGGTTTTTTTGGAAGTGGGATAAATGTAGACTCCAACCATATTTGTGGCAGTGTTCCAGTTTCGTTATAGGTGGTTGAGACATGTGTCGTCGTTAGAAGTTTGAGCCAGTCTGATGTATTTAGTTCAGGCTGGTGATTCCTTATGTTGGCTTTGGTTTAATGCTTTTCTCTACTTCTGCTTTTAAAATGCGTAGGACCGGTATTTGTATGCTTTGTGTTGTTAAATTGTGGCCTCGTATCTAGGAAGAGCCTCTTTTTATGTAGTAGGTCCATTCTCTTTTTTTTTTCGTTTTTAAGTCGAGAATAATTTTACACCTTATGGAGTTTCTCATAAGAGAGGAGTTCTTTTTCTCTGAATGTAGGGGTTCTCATAACTTAACTTTTTATATAAAATGCTTTATCAACGGAATTTAATGTTAGTTATAGTATAACTTAAAAAATTAAGCCTATAAAATAATAGATATTAAGTTAAAACACAATTAAATAATAACTACCCTTTTTTTCTTAGAAACAAAATTTTGGTAGAGAACTGCAGAAGACAGCGGATGATGAGGGAAAGTGAAGAAGATGATGACGAACGAAGATGACGACGATATAAAGTTGATATACACCAACACCCAAAAAGGCGAATATTCTCATTAACGTAAACATTAGACGGCAAAGACCTTCGACCAGCGAGGAAATCTTTCACATCTCAATTACAATGAAATCAAAAGGGAGCACTGCAGAGGTACGTCTAAAGAAATGAAAACACGTCCTACAACTTCAAAGAGTTTGAGATTTATTTGAAATACAAAAAAACTTTATGATGTAAGAGGAAAATATCAACACATTATATAATAGTTACTATAGATTACAGATGATGGCCGTGAACTAGTTTACATTCTCATAAACCTAACACTTTTACAATAAGACCTCTTTCCACTTCCTCTATATTTAGAGATGCAGTTTAACTTTTTACCGTGCACTGTAACCTTTGTAGGGTTTCCTAAGAAACCAGAAAAAACTGGATTGAAATACATTCCAAAAAACTGATCCTAGATTCTTAATTTACTTTTTTTATTATTAGGAGAAAAAAAAAAAAACGTATTTTAATATTTCGAATAGTATTGTTGACTGATGTTTGTTAGTTCTGAGACATTGTCGTCGTCTAGAAGTTTTAACCAGTCTGATGGTATTTAGTCAGGACCTGGAGATTTCCTATTTTTGCTTTGTTTAATGGCTTTCTCTACTTCTGCTTTTAAAATACTAGGACCGGTATTCGTATGCTTTGTGGTGTCAAGTGGTAATCTCATATCCAGGAAGAGCTCTTTTATGTAGTTGGTCCATTCTTCCTATTTTTTTTTTTTTTTTCGTTAAGTCGAGAATCATTTTACCTTTGGAGTTTATCATAAAGTGAGGAGTTCTTTTTCTCTGAATGTAGGGGTTCTCATAACTTAAATTTATATAAATGCTCTCTCAAAGGAATTTAATGTTTGTATATATAACTTAAAAATTAAGCCCATAAATATAGATATTAATTTAAAACACAATTAAATAATAACTACCCTTTTGTTCTTAGAAATAAAATTTTGGGAGAACTGCCAGAAGACAGCGATGATGAGGAAAGTGAAGAAGATGATGACGACGAAGATGACGACGATATAAAAAGTGAATATACACCAACCACCAAAAAGGCGAATATTCCTCATTACGTTAACATTAGACGGCAAAGACCTTCGACCACCGAAGAATCTTCCACATCTCAATACAATGAAATCAAAAGAGGAAGCACTGCAGAGGCTACGTCTAAAGAAGAAAACAGTCCTACAACTTCAAAGTAAGGTTTTTGAGATTTATATTGAAATACAAAAAACTTTATGATGTAAGAGAATATTAAGACCTTTTTCACTTCCTCTATATTTAGAGATGCAGTTTAACTTTTTACCGTGCACTGTAACCTTTGGTGTTTCCTAAGAAACAGAAAAACTCGAATGAAATACATTCCAAAAACTGATCCTGATTCTTAATTTACTTCTATTTATGTAAAGGAGAATAAAAAAAACTTATTTATAATAATTTCGAAATAGTATTGTTGACTGCATGTGATTGATTAATATTTTTTTAGGTACAAACAAATTCGACGGGGCACCACAACAGCTACTACTACGACAACTAATACACCGTCTACATCTGAAACACAACAGTTAAGGTAAGTAGTTTTTATAACATTGCCTTTATCATTTTAAACGTATTTGTAAATTTCTGTGCGCATTGATTCGTCAGTAACTTACAAACCTTCTTCCTCTTAGTGTGGTCCATTTTACTCTATCTGCAGCAGTTCTGTAGAGTTGTATTGTTATTTTTTCCACTTAACTGTCTTAGGTTGTAAGCACATGGGTCAACGTCGAAGTGGTCGTCTCGATTTCAATCGCGTGGGTCTCTACCTACCACCCAAGTTCCTTCGTTACTGCATTGAGATCCGCAAACGGGGCGTTTAGTGGTCATCTAGAATTGCAAATCTCCTTGTCTTGTACGACTCTCGTCACTTGCGATTGGTAGCGCACGAAAAAGTTCGAGTGAGACGCACATTTTCAGTCATGGGGATAAGATTATTGTATTTGCTTTCTTCATTTTTTATTGTTTTTTGCCCTAAAATAATTTTTTTTAAGATTGACGAATATTATGTTCATTATTTGTAGTACTACTAGCTTTTTATAACATTCTAAAAACATTTAATTTCTGTTTCTAGGTGTTTAATATAAAATTCGTTGGGATAGTGTAAAAATACCCTCAATTGTATAATTATACAATGAACTAATATGCCAATATGGATATATAAAAAATGCGTTCTTTCTGGTTGGCAGATGTGAGCAAACAGCAAACTAAATCGACTAGTATGCGGTGAACAATCGCTCGTACAGCAAAATTCGTATAAGACGAGCACGACGCATGAACTTATAGTGCCTTCGATCGACCCATGTGCGGACGGCCTTAATCTTTTCAATCATGGTGTAAGTCGTCTCCCCTGTCCTCGCTTTCCTTCCACCTTTCCTTGTATTTTCTATTACGTAATCGCATCAACTCATATTTATAATTTCTTATTATGTGACAAAATTAGTTCATTTTTCTTTCATTCGTAGTGTTGAAGATTTATTTTTCTCTCTTTTTCGTCCTTCTTTGGGTTTTCCTGGTTTTTACATGTATCTATGATATTTTCCACATTCTTGGATAAGACCACCTCTCAAACCTAGGAAGTCTTTTTTTCAGTTACATCCATCATTGCGTAGACTTCAATCCCATATAACAGGACAGATAATATGTAACATCTCTCTAGTTCTAATTTCTATTCCCAGTTTTCCATTGCATAATACCGCTTTCATCTTATTAAAAACTTTTCTGCCCATCTCAATGCCTTATTTGATTTCAAGGCTAACATTATTCATTTAGCTTACATCTCAGGTAATTGTATGTGGGTAATTTCTTTCAAGCCTTTTCTTTAATATAGTTTCTTTCGTCTTCCTATTACTGACATACAGTCTTACTTATTGTCTTCAATCTTACCGAGCATCCTGATTTTTCCTTTTTTTGTATTCAGAATCATTAATCAAAGTCTGCAGATCTTCTCTCTAGTGAATAATCAGAGATTATTCACTAGTATTCCGATAATTGAAATGCTTTCATTTACGTCCTCTAGTGCTTAACATCTCTTCTGAATACATGTTAAAAAGTAAATGGGACAATACACCTCCTTGTCGTATTCCTCTTATAAAACTATACAAGTATATACTCCAATAATTAAACATAACGCGAATAATATACAAAAACCCTTTGAAGAAATCACTATTGCCCTAGAAGAAAAAAAAATCAAGTTGAAAATTGATAATAGGAATCTTTATGTTAAACAAGAAAATCAAATAAGTACAGATGAATGCAAAATTGTAAAACATGTATAAGATTTAAAAAATGATAGAGGTCCCATACTACCAAGATATAAATAAATATTGATGTTAAAGACAAAATCCCCAAAAAAACGAGATCTTTCGCAGAGTACATAGTCCTCTAGTAAGATAAGTCCCATAGAAAGTTTTGGGAGAGAGTTTCTAGCGCCAAATGCGAACGGGTCGAAACTAATTTCATTTGGCGGTAAATTCAAAACGTAAGTTCTGAATTTTAGGAGGTAAATTAAAAAAATATGCTCTGATTTTAGGCGCCAAAATTCAAAAAGTGTACTTTTAATGGAAAATAAATATAGTCATAAAATAAGAAATAAAAACCTATTCTATGCCAAAAAATATATTCTCTCTCTCCAAAATATATTACAAACTTACGCATTTTTATATATAAATATATAACATAATATCAGACAGCGAAAGTATATATTAGGATCAGATTTTATTTATTATTTTATGACTATATCTATTTTCCATTTCATTAACAAACCACAGTCCCGAAAACAACAAAATAAAACACAAATATCCTGACACTTGTTTATTTGTATACTTTTTTTTTGGTAAAATATTTGGCAACAAATATACTCCTCCTTTTCATTCCTTAAGCCCTTGTTAGGGTGTGGGTGGAGACACTATAAATATTGTTAGCTTGCTGTCTCCATTGGCTGCAATCCTCTACCAGATGGACAACTTCATGTACGGATTTTTCCACTACTCCTCATTTAATCTTCCTATCTGCCTCTATATTCATTAGTACTGGTTTTTTATTAGTTCCATATCTTCTCAATTACTCTTCCTTAATATCTATCTGTAGATAATAAAGTGTAAACTCTAGCATTTCTGTGATCTTTCTCTTCAGGATGAAGAATTAGCATGTAACTATTACTCAGAAGTGGAAAGTCCATGAAAATCTTTAATTAAATTCTATAAATTAAAAATGTATCACTTATTATGTAAAAGAAAAAAAAAGAAAGCAAATTTTAGGAATGCAAGTATAAGAGTAAAGCCAGGTTTATAAACGGACATAGTACATAATCATAAGTCATAAATATAACTTTAACCACAATCATAATTCACAAGATTTCAGATTGGTTTATCCCTAGACATAATACCTAAACATAATATTTAAAAACTACTTCAGAAAATACAAACCTAACCAAATTTTTATAGATCTTGAAGAATTTATTCTGGTCTTTAGATTCATAGAAAAGTGAAATAATTTTAAATAAATATGAAGATTAGTAGAAAAGTTACTTTGGCCATGGCAGCAGTCCCACTTTATTTAACGTAGCGAGTATATCTGCCAGAGTTCTTAACAAGCAAAGAAGAGTAAGAAGGTATAGTGTAAGACCCATACACTATTTTTATAGTGCCATGTACAACTTGCAAGGACGTGGATTACAATGTTGCCACTAACACATTTTTTTCACAGAAATAAGTTATTGTAAATGTAAGTGGTGATTTTAGTAGAATTTGCTACAATCTTTGTTTTTTTTTTAACGTTTTATAGTATAATAATTATTTGGGTAAATATGCAAAACTAGTGAAACCATGGCAACAGCACTTACATCAACGTCATACGCCTTTTGCTACGTCATACCCCCACCTAACGTGACTAGTAGCGCCGTGGCCATTACGAAGGGCTGGGCCCATGCAAGTCGCTCTCCCCAACTTTCCTATTTCACTTACACTACTATTTGTGGTATATACTCTGATCTTTCATACCTTGCTAATACACAAATCTATCACTAAAAATTAAATTTATTTTCCATAGATAACGATCATAGACTGATCCGAGCAAAAATAAATATAACAGCCGATTTGAAGTAAAAGGAAAAATTAAAACTACCAGAGTTTAACTGACACAAGAAAAACAAATATAGAAAGAATAACTAGATAATTATTAACAAGTAGAGAAAATTTTTAAAAATAAAAATATCGCAGACTTTTGTTGACGATAAAAACAGTCCAGGTCGATAAGATTAATATCTTTACGGTTACTGAAACTTTACCTTTTACTGTTACTGAAATATTTCAAAAGACTTGGTTCCCTTGAATGTTCTCACCAGATATATATTATCTAGGAGCTGGGTATCCGCAGTGTTTCTATGATGGAGTAGCCATTTTTCATGACCAAATACAAATTTTTATATGATTTTGTTAACAATTTGTACATTTACGTCTCTTTGAACATATCTGTTGAGACAGTACCAAGGTGCATCACTGTTTCTTAATACTTTGTTTTGTAATCGTTGAATATCTTGAATGTTAATTATACATAGAATAAAGTTTTGAAATTTAAAATTTGTTTTTTTTTTCAGCATTGCTGAGGAAAATAGTACGGAAACATCAACTACCTCATCAATATCTGATTCAGGATTAGGGTAAAACAACAATATTATGTTTTTAAACTCACATGTTCTAACATCACTTTCTTTTGACAGATCCAGTGTTGAAGCGGTTACAGAAAACAGAACAACAGAAGATATTAGAAATGACTATGTATCTAGTGTAATAACAACAACCGGAACATATGTAACTTCAACAGATGACATTAATGCCATTAAATCTGAAAATAACGTTTCGAAATCTCCCAACAAGTCAACTTTACTAACTAAACCACACTTTTTAAATTCTATCCAAAGAAAAAGACCGCAACTTTTCGAGCCGAGACCATTTACAAAGCCCACAGAGTCGACCACGTCAAGATCGTCGACGAGTCAAGCCACAAAGGTGAGTGATGATTCAACAGAATCAGAAAATTATAAAATTACAAAAGAAAAACCAACTATAAACTTTAGATCCAGAGAATCTTCTAGGTTTAACCCACAGAAAAAAATTCAAACAGCTAATATTGAAGATGATATTGATACGGACATTGTACCGTCAAAGAGACGTTTGGTGACAACTGAAAAACATATAGAAGAAATTAGACCGTACAGACCATCAGAACTAGCAGATTTATCATCACTAACAGCTGTTGATTTCGATAATATAAAAGAGTTAAATACAAGAGCAAATTCAAGAAGAAGAAGACCCTTGAGACCCTCTTCCACAACTACTGTAATACCAGAAGACTTGCAAAAGGCACAATATACTGTAAAAAGGAGAAGAATCAATTTAAATTACAAAGAGTCTGAAAGATTACCAAATGTATCTAAGATTTCACAAACTACTGAATCAAACACCGTGTCTGACTCATTCCAATCAACTTCTCGTAATAGAAAAGTCATACGAAGATTTAGGACTAGCACTCATCCATCTACATCGAACTCCGAAGTTACAGAAACAACACCTCTTCCTAGATCTCAATCAACGGAAACTACTACAAAATCTATTTTGGATATCGCACCAAACCATAACGAGGTTAACGACGATTCTTTTGATGATTCAAATACAGAAGAGGAAGAAAATATAAAACTATCTGAATCAAATATACGCGAAAATAGCGAAATTAATAGTTTTGAAGTAGATCCGAAGCTAAGGAGCAAATTTATTAAACCTTTCGATTATTTCGGAAAATCAAGTGTTCATGAAAAGAGTTCAGGAATTGAAAAATCGACATTTACATTAGAAGAAAAAAGCAGCACGGTTGATGTTACTTTAGGTTCCAGTATTTCCACTGAGCCCACCATTTTTAACCGTACTAGAAAGATAGTTAGAAAAATTATACCCACAGATTTACCAAAAATTATTGATAAACCAGTAGAATCTGAACAAGTTTTTGGTCGTAAAAGAAAGATTATTCGAAAATTTAAACCACATAACAATTCTGTTGGACAAAATTTCACCGACATATCTAACATTTTTAATTTGAATACAACGGAAGAATCTCTCTCTACAAACGATACCAGTGAACAAAATCCTGATAATATTTATAAAATTCAAGACGTTTCCAGTGAAGCACCCAAATATCCTAAGAGAATATTTCGCCCACGAACAAAATTCACTCCAAGTACTGAAAGTAGTATAGACCAAGAGATCACTACATCCAAACAATATCAAAGAAATAAAACAATTTTACTTAGAGGTCCAAGCAGGAATTATAGACCAAGATTTAGTACAAAATCCAGTGAATTTGATGCATCAACTGAATCAGCAGTATCGAAAAAGTACAGTTTTATTCCCAGACGCACTACAAAGACAATCACAAGTACGACTACTACTGAGCCAACTACATACCAGTCAGAAAAGACTTCAGTACCAGATCTTCAAGATTTATATGTGACTACAACTGAAGACTATATTGATTCAACTACTGAAGACGATAATACATCAGAAATTCCAGACGAAAATGAAATTGACTATTTGACAACAATAAACTCTGACACGGAATTGGAGACGACAGTAAGTACCGAAGAAAACATTACTGATCAGACAAAAAATATTGAGGATAATGATATTAATTTTGAAACCACTAATAACTATATTGAATCAACGTCAATATCAACTACTACTACAAATACACCAGAAGAGACTACCACAGCACAAACAGATATATCAGATGAACCAGATTTAACAACATTATATATGGAACAAACCACCGAAATACAAATAGATACAACCACAGTACCAGAAAAAAGTACTTCAGAGCCATCTACCTCTGTAGCTACTGAACAATCTAGTACGTCTCTTCGGCCAAACATTTTAAAACCAATAGAATCAAGACCTAAGTTTATTCCTTCCAGGCTTAAGAGTCTTACTAATAGTCAGTCTACAGAATCAAGCTCTGTAAAGCCCAAACCATCATATAGAAACCGATTGTTTGCATCTACCACCAGCAGCTCAGTCTTAAAAGAGGCCAGTACCAGATTTACTCCAAAGGAAAACAAGAGATATAATAAATACCGAACTGGTTTTAGAAAAGAAAATAAGGATGAGGAATCAGTAGTAGAAACTAGTTCGGCTTCTGTAATCGAAAAATCTTATAAATACAGAAAATTTAAAGAACAGGAACCGGATTTATCAGCAAACGAAAATGAAAAAGAAGATGACGATGACGAACTTGATGATACCACACAGACCGTTGAAAGTAGTTCGGCATCTTACAGTAATCGATTTTTAAGCAATTTTAAAAAATCAAAACAAAATTCTGACTCAGTATTGGATAGCAGAAATAACAGCAACGAGTATGATGATAATAGCGATGATATAAAACCAATATCTGTATTACCACTTAATAAATCTCTATATAAATATAGAAGACCACAAACTATTCAAAAATATTCAGATAGTGACAATGAAAAAATTGAAAGTATTCCTGAAGATGGAAATACTAATGCCGAAACTCAAAAAGTACTACCCCAAATTAATACCACTATATCAAGATTTTCTAATAAAACTACTCATTTAAAACCTCAAAACAAAATTGTCAGCTTTTCAAAATCTACGACTGAAGCAACGAGGACCGATGATCAATTGAAAGATATAGATACTGAAGCTATTAAGAATAGAAATAAAAATCTATTTAACAACAGAAAATCCACTATTGGTATTTTGAGCTCATCTTCTCCGTTAACCACTTTAGGAGAAGAATTAGTCACTTCTCCTACAATCTTAACAACCGATGATTCAACAACATACTCTGAAGACGAATCTACAGTTTCATCGACACCTCTATCTACAACTGAGTCTATTGAATCTAGTACTTTAGTGCATATTTTTGCAGAGAAAGGTGGAACGTCTGATCTGCCAACTAAAGTAGATAATATAGAAAACCATTCGCCAGAAAATAGAGTCGAACGCCTTATTGAAGTGAACAGAATTGTAAATGTCCAGACTAAAGAAGACATTGTGAAACACCATCATGTGGAACACATAACTGATCAGGAATCGCCAATATTAGATAAGATAGGAGCTATTAATAGAGTCACTGTTATAAAAGTGGTAGATAAAGACGGGCAGATAGTTAATAGTAACGACACCAATAATAATAATAATAATGTATCTCCAATTTATGTTGCTGATTCTCATTCAAATGAGTCTCCTATAAAATCGTCTGTTGATATGATTATTCAAATTGCAAAAATTGAGGAAATACCGGCTGAGACCATGTTAGGAAAGATTAACTTAACCAATATATCATTAGGAATCAATCATTCTGAACATACCGATAGGGAGGAAAGAAAACTTAGCGATATCGGAAGTAAATTGGTAACCAGCAAAGTGGAAAATATCGGAAAAGCTGAAATATTCGGCGGATTGTCTCATATTAACGTCATAACTCCCAGACCGATTCATCTTACCGAATCGTCGACAATAGCTTTAGAAGGATTGTTCCAAACAGAAAAACCCAGTTTATTTACCAGTAAAAACTCCATAAGCGACGAGCTGTTGGAAACCGAAAACTCGAAGTATGTAAATGTAAGAATACTCCATCCAGATGAGGGTTACAGGATAAATAAAGAAATTAAGCAGGACACGAAGGTTATTCCTATAAAACTACTGAAACAAGATGATAATGATTTCATAATGCGTGCCAAAGTAGTCGAGGTTTCAACTCAGTCAACTTTGAATACCATCAAAATTGCCCCTATTAAAGTAGAAGCCGCTAGAAGATTACCCCCTCCCTTGCCTTTAATTAGAATAAATAGAGAACATAATTAATATAATTTTAGTTTTTAATATTTAATTGTAGATTTAATTTATGTGTATTTTTAGTGTCATTGTTATGTATGTAAATACAAAATGTTCTTGTTGTTGTTATACAAATTTGCTATTTGTGTGTGATAATTGATTGTAAATAATAAGCACCTTGTAATATATAAGCACACCCTATTTTATCATTGTTTGTTTATTTTTCGTGCTAAAGATAATAACTGTCAAACTAAATGAACCAAGAACGCGCATTCTACGAAGTAGAATTCACGCCTATTCGCGATAGCCAAATCCGACAGGGGGCGCTCAAGATTTCAAAGATGGACGATCACTTCGGGAAAACAAATCATGTCGTCATTTGATCTCGAAGCTATAAAAAAATATATAACGTATATTTTATATATATAGTATATTATATATATAAAAAATATATATATATATATATATATATATATATATATATATATATATATTATAATATACAAAACGTTTACTATAAATCATTTACACGTGTGTTTTGCCAAATTAAAAGTTGGAGTACGTTCTTCAAAGTTTATTTGTTTGTAATTTGAGTTTATACATAAGATAATTGACTCCCAAACCTGAATCAAAATAAAATTAAATGTTTGTTAGTATCTTTGAAACACGGGAAGTAAAATTTACATTATCTCAATTATTTATGTGGTTACAAGGTCGGCAGAGAACTTTAGTTGAGGATGAGGCAGTTTTTGGAGCTAGCCACGTTATATTTTGAAAATTACGCCTTACGTTTTTTTACTAATAACTTAATGATACCATTGGGGCAATTTAGCTGATGGAACAGTATTTTTCTTCAGTCTTCTCAATTTAGTTTCAGATGTTGCTATAAGTCATGTACTTGGTTATAGGTTTGCAAATTCGCAAAATGCATTGCCAAACTTTTCTCATATTCTCGTCCAGCGGAAACTTATGTATAGAATTTTTTTGTGAATTATAATATGATGAACATTGAGGAATATTGCAATAGTTTCTGAAGTCGAAGTCATTGTTAATTACAATATAAACCGGTAGCTAATATGTATACAAATTAATAACAATTTCAAGATTTTCCCGAAGTGGATGCTTTTGAAATCTACCACCAGGCGTCGCCCACTTTGCGGTTTCTCACGAATAATGTTTAGTGATGGTAGTGCGCAGGTTCACCAGGTTTGGCGTTAGCTTATACTCCAACTAACCCTAAAACAGAGTATAAATGAACATAATAAATGCATACATAATAATGAAGTTATTTTAAAACACTACATAATTCAATAGTCCAGTCGTCAGAGAGTTGACCCCTAAAAATCATACGAACAAGCTGAATTTTGCCGAGAATATTAATTTTGGCACCCCAAAACAGATGCAAAAAAATTTACCACTTTTATCCTCGGACTTACCTCTAAAACTCCCATCATAAGGGAGGAAAACGCAAAAAAATCGATTTACCAAGAATCTGTAGCCGCAAAAAAAATTTTTCAAATAAAAAATGTAGCTGAGATAATTCTAAACAAAAATGTTCATTAGCACTTTTTGTGTAGAAAGAACCGTTCTGTCAGAAACAACGCTTAAAGCGACTGTCGATTTTGAACGTCAGTTACAATTTGTATCAGCTCGGTGGTAAAAATTCGATATCTTTTGATCTAAGTGTCCTATCGACAAAATTCAAGATGTATTTTAAAGTTAAAAAGTGCAGATCTTGTCTGCGGTTTCGGTATTTTACCGAGAATAAACTGTTTTTATAAAGGTGTAAAATAAATAATCGTGGCGCGACTTTTGCCATTTTTCTCGTGAGATCAATAAAATTGATCACTTTCATTGACTAGTCGTAGTAAGAGTTTTATTTTTAGGTATCAATCTTTAAAACCAATGACTTGAATGACTTGAATGACAATGATTTCAAATATGAATAAAAAACGCAAAATTTAATATTTTACATTACAAATGATCGCACGTCACGGGAAATATCTCCAAGAAGACGATTTTAGGTGTGGTTTATAGCGGAAGTTTGGTTCTTTTGAAAAACGTACTACTGAAATTTAAAAAAAAGTTTTAAATGCTTTAGATCGTTTGTTATGTAAAAGTTTAAATCCAGCGTTTTTTAAGCATATTTTAAATGTCTCAAATTTGTTGCCAAAACTTAAAACTAAAATTTCATGCTATAAATTTTGAAGGGTAGGCTCCGGTTATCGAAATTTTATCGTGGCCAGTCAATTAAAGGGATAGATTGTATTGATCTCATGAGAATCATAAAAAGTGGCAAAAATCGCGCCACGTTTATTTATTTAACAGCTTTGTAAAATCTGAGGTTATTTACGGCAAAATACAAAAACTTCATACGAAAGCAGAACTCTTTACCTTTAAAACGCTTCTTGATTTTTGTCGATAGGTCACTTAAATCAAAAGATATCGAATTTTTACCGTCGAGCTAATACAAATTTTATTGAACATTGATTTCGCGCGCGTATCTGACACTCAAAATCGATGGTCGCTTCAAGCGTTATTTGTGAGAGAACAGTTCTTCTACACAAAAAATTCTTATAAACATTTTGGTTTAAAATTATCTCAGCTACATTTTTTATTCAAAACATTTTTTTCTTCGGCGTACAGAAGCCCAGAGGTAAAAGTGGTAAACTTTTTTGCATCTTTTTGAGGACCCAAAATTATTATTCTCTGCAAAATTCATCTTGTTGTTATGCTTTTAGACGTTCAGTGGAATTTTCGTCTCTGACCACTGGAGTACAAGTAAATGTTTTAACCGTAGTTGTCATTAACAGTTGTAGTTATTTTGTTAAATAACAAATCGAGTTTATGTTTAGTTAAATATTTAAATGTCCCCAGTGTACCAAGGTTTTCAATTCCATTTCCATCAAAACAGATCAATTTTAATGACGTTTTGGAATTAACCTTTATTTGTCCTTAACTTAAAAATCTACCATATGCCTTGGGAGGTGGAATCCGCCCCAACTGGGTAGTTGGTACCTTTATATTGAAAATAATGATTTTCAATATAAATTTTTTAAAACACACATTTTATCAATTAACAGTTTTTTCGATAAAATTTAAAGCTTTTGAGTCATTCGTGCAAATCTATTGAAAGCCTAAAAAGATTGATCTATCAAAAAAAATTAACAATTTTTCTATCGATTTTTAAAATTATAATCTTAAATAATTTATTATTTTAAAATTATAAAGATTTTATTATCCAGATTTAGCCATACGGCTCACACTCCCTCTAAGGGGAAAATTCACTCATCCCAGATACCTACGGTATCAAAAGGATTGAGCTCTGGTGGGACTCTTTCCGTGTTGTCGAGCCCTAGGTGACTTGGTATGTTGGAGTATCTCCCAAAAATTTTCGTACACATCTGGACGTCGCGAGGAGTACAGCTTTCTGCATGGCCCTATAAAGATGTTCATTTAGACCCAGCTGTTTTATGTTTGCTAGGAGGTTTTTGGGATTAACACCAGTAGTAGATAGAACAATAGGTACTGTCTGGGTACTTTCCATTCTCCATTGTCTCTTGATTTGTATTTCCAGATCTCTATACTTGGCGATCTTTTCGTTGTATTTAACACGCAGATTGTTAGTGTTAGGTGTCTCCACATCAATAAGTGTTGTTTGCCTGGTAATTTTATTCACTAGTATTAGATCCGGTCTATTATGGGCCACTGGTTGGTCTGTGAGCACAGTGCGGTCCCAGTATAGCTTGTAGTTGCCATTTTCAAGCATTCTGTCAGGAACATACTGATAATAAGGAAGATGGTTGGTTTGGAGAAGTCCCAGTTTGTCAGCTAGTTCTTGGTAGATAATCTTTCCTACTGAGTCATGGCGTTCTTTATAATCAGTACCGACAAATGCCTGGCAGCCACCGGTAAGATGTTGGATGGTTTCTTGGGCTTGGCATCTATATCGGCATTTGTCATTTTGGACTTGAGGATCTTTAACAATATATTTCAGGTTGGATTTTTTAACAACAATAATTTTTAGTTGGATTTTATTTAAGCCCTCATCAACGTTTTCGCCAATATTTTTTCAAATTAAATTTTCGTTCAGTTGTCTTTGAACTGATTCCTTAACTTTCTCGTCTTGTAATTGGGCTGTGTCAATATTTTTGCGAGACTTCTTTTTGATCACCTTTTTTAATTTTAATTGGGTTACAGCTACTATGGGATTGTGATCGGATCCAATGTTAGTACCTGGATAAGTTTTAACTGATTTGATGCAGGTTCTAAATCGATTTTTTATTTATTATTGCTATTGATTATTCATAATTTAAGCGATGGATATTTCGCACTTCACTGCGTTAGTATGTAATTTTTCCTGTACTACGATAGTTGGTGCACCAGATTTTAAACACACCTTCTTCATTAAGATTGAATTTATTACTTTTCAGAAGATTTTTCACAGAGATTAATGCATTTTTTTCTTACATTTGATCCAATTTTTGATTCTTACCAAGTCACAAATGACACCACATAAATTTGATGTGAGTGCTCCAGTTAAAACTTTCTTTAGCATAGATATGAGATTGTTGATTCGAAGAATTATCCATCCTTAAATGTTGTAGGAAAAACTATAGTGTAGCAGAAAAGACAGTTAAGATTTAATTTTACATATAGTGCTTCAATATTTCGCTTGTACGTATTTCATACTTGCAGGACTCATCAGTACGACTAAGTAAAAGCCCTGAATGTGAAATCAAAAATTGTTCGTCAAACTGAGTAATAATTAAATAACTTTTTAAAAACGCTTACGGCGACATCTAAGAATGAAACAAGAGGTAAAAATCCGAAGATTTTAACCTGTTTGAAATCAACTCCATTTTTACATTTGTTTTTATTCTTAGATGTCTTATAAGATCAGCAAAGTCTATTAGTAAGCCCATTTTCTTTAGTTGTATCATGGAGGCTATGCTTACCTTATT